GTTGAAAAGGGTATGTTATGTGATCAAGCTTGTCAAGGGTTTGTCAAGGGGGTGTGTGTGTGGTGTGTTAGTCAGTTACATACATAGTAAGTAAGCAAGTAAGTAAGTAAGTACGTAAGTTAAAAAAAAATGGGGCTACAGTACTTATAACCTGTAACATACGGCATGTGTGTACTTTAAAGTAGATACTTGGTTGACGGGGGGTTATGTATGTTAGAAATAGAGGGTTATTTGCCAAAAAAAAATTAAAAAAAAGAAAACAAGAAAACAAGACTTCTAGAAACTCATAATGTGGATAAGTGACCCCTAACTACTTACTTACTGTAAAGAGCAGGCTGTTAACTAGTCAGCGGGGGGTCATTTTCTTGGAACCAAGTAGATGGTTGGGGCAGGAATTAATACCGTGGCACTATATGTAGCGGTCCGTTTCGCTGGTTGGCTTGGCTTGGTTTATTTACTTGGCTGCTTGGTTGCTTAGTGGGATTGTTAGTCAGTCGGCCGGCCGAGAAAGAAAGAAGCAAAGGCAGGGAAGTCGGGGGCCATGATTTCAAAAGACGGAGGAGGTCGGAGGCATCAAGATTGAGATTCGGGGCCGGCTGTCTGTGCTAGTGAGACAGAAGTCTAGACTTTTGTATTCTTTGATTTCAAAATCAATACAATGGGCCATACCACAGAGTACTCTGATTTGTCTTGCTGTTGTGTTGTGTTGTCTGGTTTGTCGGGTGGTTTTGTGTGGGGGAAATGGAGGGGGCTTCCTCCCCACCACCACCACCACCACCGCCATGGTTTGCGACAACAGACTCGAGACGGCACATGATCTACTAGCAACTGCACAACCTGACAAGTCCAGTTGACGAGCTGTCAGAGTGATTTTCTTTAGCTGTTCGTGCACGCCAAGGCCAATCAAACAAGCACAACAACAACAACCAGCCAACCAACCCCCCCAATAAATGAAACGTTCTAGCTCAAGCAGCGCCTTCTTTTCTTGCGTAATCAAATCAAGCTCAAACCTGCAGCCAAGACTGCTGCATCTGGTGGTCATGGTCCGATTTGGTTTTCCAGCTCCCAGGATATGTGTGTGCCGTGTGGAGAGAGAGAAAGAGAGAAAGAAGGAAAAAAAAAGGTCAAACCAAACCCCCCAACCCTCCCGAATTGCGTGTCAGCCCAGGTTTTGGGGGGCGGGCACAGAGGCCACAAAAAGGCACGTTCTGTTGGAGGCCTGGCGTCGCAGCATGGCGAGGATGGCCCTACCAACCCACCGAGCTATTCATGGCAGCAGAATCGCAAACTCGACTTGCCACGGTGAATGCCGGCCAAGAACAAAGGAGGGCGCCTAAGTGGGTTGGTAGGTCAACCACCTACCAACCTACATAGATACTACGAGCGCATGAAACCATCCGCAGCATGGGGGGGGGGGGGTTGGTTAGGAAAGTGTGGAAATTAAGCATGAAAGGATTTCGGCGACTTTTAGTCAGACTATTCCTAATAAGTTTCCGATGAACAGGCAGCGAACTACTCGTATGCGACGTGTTTTTTTTTAGGGGGAAGGGGAGGGGGGGCACTCTCACCGGAGCATAGGTTTGACATGTTTGACAGTGGTTAGCGTTGGTTGGTTGGCCGGTTGGTTAGGACAGGGCAGGGCAGGGCAGGGCAGGGCAAGGAGGTTACGCGGACTTGGGGCAAGCAGGCGACGCAAAGAAGCGAGCCAAGGCAAGGCGACGCGACGCGACGCAGGGGGTGCCCCCGTACGTAGTACCTACTGTACGTGTGTACCTAGTAGTAGCTATGGTAAAGAAAGCCCCCCCCCTAATGCTAGAATTACAACTGGTGTACTTAGACACACACGCACTCACTCACACCGCCTTTGGTCGCGCGGCCTTTTTTTCTTTTCTTTTTTCTTCTTTATTTTCTCACCGCTTGGTTTGGTTTGGCTGCGTCGAGGAGTGGTGTGCGCTGAGTGCTGGAATGCTGGCATGGTTGGAGTAAAGTAAGTGGTGAGGTGCGACTTGATCACGGGGGGGGGGGATTGTCCGGTGTGTAGTTTGGTATTGAATAGAGTAAAGAGTACTATTACTGTTACTACTATTACTAGTGTACTTACTTATCGTTTGTTATCAAGTGGATTTTGGAATCCGTGTACTATACTAAACAATAAACTGTTTTTTATCACTCTACCGACTCTGCTTTGTCTCCTCCTGCGTTCCTACATTCCTACATTCCAACGTGCACATGTACATGCACACTCGCATTCAGACGTACCCCCACCGCCTCTTTCCCCCTCCTTCTCCTTCTCCGCCGCCTCCGCCTCCGCCGCCGCCACCGCCAAGGTCCAAGCCATGGAAAATCGCCTAACCACCAAAGCAACCCAAGCTAACCCATCTACCCAACACACCGACTGCCTAACTATATACCTAACTAACTAACTTGACTGAATGCCCCCGGGCTGACCGACCGACTAGCCGACCCTCCGACCACCCGAATACCGTCTAGAACATGTGGGATGGGGTATGGGGATTGGTATGGGGGGACTTGGATATAGTATAATATATTATATTATATTACTCTATTTTACTTTACTTGACTTTACTTAACTTTACTTTACGATATATATCTTGACTCGAGACTAGATATATATATACATACATACATACATTCATACTCTGACGTGGTCTGTTACAACGGTGGCTATGCAGCTGCGCCTGCGCCTGCGCCTGCAGCTGTGACTGTGGCTGTGTATATCAGCTATTTACCTTGTGCGTCTTTCCAGCTGCGCGTTTTAGTAGCAAACTAGCATGTAGATAGAGGGTGGCTGGGACCCGGATATACTCCAGCTGAGCATATCCACGGCAGTGCAATGCACGACAGGTGCAGGTACAGGTACAGCGCAAGAAAGGGCATAGTTTGCAAGGCAGGACAAGTGAGTCTTATTTTAGCATGGAAAGAATGAAAAAAAAAGAAAAGAAAAGAGGGCATGGCGACGTAGTGGAACAGGCTTAGATGCGACAGCACACAAGAGGTACACCGCCCTTTTGCTGTGGCGGTGCAAAAATGCGCGTTTTGCGCCGGCCTCGGGGGGCTGCTGGGCATGTCGCTGTGGACACTTGGCAAGAGATTAGGAGAAAGTGGGAAAGGAAAGTGTGTGTGTGTGTATGACTATCTTGGATCAGCTACTTTGTGCGTGCAATGGCTTTGTCGACGTGGCAGCGCGTAACCAGGCTAAGCTAGACTGGGGGGGGGGGTACACACATGTTGCAATGGCCAAGCTGGCCTCTCTCTTTTTTTTTTCCAGTTGCGTTGTATAGAGAGGAAACTTGGCACGGGAAAGAGCAAAGTATGTGTGGTGCTTTGAAGCTAATAGTGAAGTGCGAGATTTGCAGGTATGAAATTTAAACATGGAGATGGAATGTACAGCAGAGTGGTTATGAGCAAGATTAAAATAATGAGTCGAGGCGGAGACATGGTACTAAGAGCAGTCTACGTATAGTGTTTGAAAATAACTCATGGATACATTGCTACTATCTTCATGTGTTGGACGCTTTTTTTTCACCGTCTTTCAATCTTTGATACGCTGGAAAGACTGGGGAGGAGGAAAGGCGGTATCTGTGTTGAAGATTCGAGCGACTTTTCTCTTGTCTTGGTAATGCCGGCTAGGTTTTCGTATTCAGTGCTGGCTCTTGTATACAAACATGTCACTGCGCTATTCTATAACATCCTGCTGTTAAAAACAGCAAAAAAGGATGATTGCAGTGTGTAGTACTACTTAAATAATCTAAATTATTTCTTTATGCGTGTTCAAGTGAGAAGGTAGTAGCGCTGATGTCGAGTAGGATAGTAAGAAATAGAGTGTAACCACACTTGCGTTTATCAATTGCAGTAACTACACGAAAGAGAAAAACATATTCAATAGACCACACCTACGTATGTTTCTCACTTGTCATATAGCTGCATGTAGCAAAGCATGTAGTTGAAGGAAGAGAAAAAGGCTAGATATTGCTGATATCCAACGTGCCCTGTATATATCAAGCAAACTCTACGTACCACACCATATCACGAGTATTATCATCCAACACCACGCTTTCTACTACCTTCCCTAACCATGACTTACTCGCAAAGACAAAACAATTCAAATGTAAACCAAGTCATCTTACTAAGCCTACAAGGTATATACCGCCAACCACCAGATAGTGATAGACACGGCAATGCAACCAAACATTGCTTGTATCCCAGCACCACGTTCACCCGTTACGTGTCGTTAATGCAACCCAGCAGTGTTTCCAGCCCAATGCTATGGTTTATCCTTCTATCCCCCACACATCCATGGCATTGTTACATTGTTACATTGGTACAAGGGTATATGTAATTTCCCGAGGAGAGAAAAAAAGGAGACGTTGAAGGCTTCCCTGGCTTTCCCTGACTAATGCTGACCGACGTGCTGATCATCTCCCACGGCTAATGTAACAAAGGCCACATTTGATATGAAGGGGAAGAGAGAGAGAAAAAAAAAACGCACACAAACATCCATGTACTCGACAATGTAACCGCCGCAAGCCCAGTACCCGCACCCCCCCCCCTCAACACTTTGTCCAAGAGCCCGCCACCCCAGTGGCAAAAATTGTTATGGCCCCCCTGGAATTTCCGCGGGATAAGATAATCTACAGCGACTTCAACACCGTGGCAACCGCGCTTCATGCGCTTGGCGTGGAAAAAAAAGGATAGGGCCATGGCAGTCGATCTCTCTCTCTCGCGACTCAGAAGCACGACTGGGGCTCCGAGCGAGTCCACGACACGACACACGGACATGGTCTTATTTCCCCACATGGCCTCTCCTGCGAACGCGAATACAAACACAAAAACACACAAACGCCTCAAAAGCCGAGGGGGCCATAGGACTAGGTTGTTTGCCCCACACATGTATAATACACACAGCCAGTCTCCACTTGGGCGCTTGCACACGGAGGGCCAGCGCAAAGACGCAGGAAAATGTTGAGAGTGATGGAGTGAGTGAGTGAGTGAGTGATAGGAAGAAGAGTAAAGACGATGCATATGCAGGATTGACCGCTACATGTTCTACACCGCCGGCCCCAAGATGAAATCCACAAGGACAAGAATGAAGAAGCCGAGTTTGGCGCGGCAATGTACATTACGGATACCGCGAGGACGTGGACAAGACCATGCATATGACCCCTGGCGACTACTCCTCAGGGTCGACAATCTTCTCCTTTGCCTGAGCAAAGAAGATGCGAGCCGTCCCGCTGCCGACGTTTCTAATACTATACGTGTTGCCTGTAAACAAAAACCGTTCGGTTAGCGAGCCCACTTGGTTAACAACTCCGTGTGATGTGCAAATGAGGATCGCACCAATCAGCGCGCATAACGTGAGGAAAGGGAGGAAAGCACGGCAAACGCGCCAATGTGATGGGCCAGTGACGAGAAAGTGGAAACGGACAAGAAACAGGGGAAAGCAACTGGGGGAGGGAACGCCAAACAAAGATAGGACCGAGGAAAGCAACGAAAGGCGTTCGTTGGCTCACAGCCATGCGCGCGGTAGCCGCCCAGCCCAGTCAAAACGACAGGTCGTGGCGTGCCGTCGGTAGGCTAGGGAATGGGGCTTCAAACGTTACGCAGTGTCCTGCAGTATGCAGTAGACCCGTGCAACAGTGGCTGCATGTGACGAGAATTGGGTTCGCTTCGCACCGTCCGCTCGCTTGCCCGTGGTTCGTTTCTCGTGTTCCTGGCCACATGCAGTGTGACGTTGCAGGACCGAAACGCACAACGCCCAAGTGCTACGTGTGATGGTATATGCAATATGCCGTCTGGCGTCGAGCATAAAGCAACGGCAGTCATACGGCATCAAGGAAAGCGCGGAAAACAAAAATAGAAATGACGGTTGAAGAAATGTGCAGACGGGTCATGGACGACGGGGAAACAGAAACCAACGTACCTCGAGGAACTTGCCAGATGCCGTTTTTGTGGATCGTAAACTCATTTTCGTGAACACGAACTTCGACCGTGCCAGACTGCACGTTGAAGACCATGTGCATAAATCGTGAGTTCTTTGTGCGCTTCATCTGGTCGGGGCCAAGTTCAATGAGACCCCAGTTGAAAAAGGAGCCGCTTGATCCGATCTTTGCAAACTTGAAGCCGCCATCGCCGACTTCTTGAGGTCGAATGCCTTTGTCTGCCCATGCAATATCTACAGAAGTTAGTCAGAGGTTCATAGTTTGGAACGCTGGACTTGCCATCTTCGATAATCTCGTCCGAGGCACTGTTGGTATTTAGATCAAAGCCTTTGTAGTTGCCCGTGAGTCTGCCGTCCTTCTCCTCCCACGGGTCAAGCTCAATCTCTTCCTCTTCGACCATTGTGAGCCTCTTCTTCTTGCCTTTGGAACCGTACTTCTTGTTCTGCCTTCGTGTTTCCTCGACTGCTGCGCTCTTCACAATCGACGTCATGCTGCCGTCAACATCATAAGAGATGTGGTCGTTCTTCCAGAAATCAATCGGTGCCACGCGATGCCTGCCAGTTCGTCCTACGCGGGCAACGTTTTCAGGGTCGATTTCTCGGAAAACAGAGAGGTGCCGTCCGCGTCCGAATCTTGAGCCGGCTGATGTAGTAGACATCTGATCAATGTCCTGCTTGCTGAGGGGATTGCCGTATACATCTACGAGTTTGCCAGCGCCTTCTTCAATAAGAGTCTTTTCTTTTGGTTTGTCTTTGGAAGTCTCTTTCGTCTTCGGTGCTGGCTTGGTCTTGGGCTCGGAAGTGGCTTTGGGTCTCCCGGCGGGTTTCGTAGGCTTCTTGAACGGTTCACTTGTCTTCTCTTTTGCAGCTGCATTCTTTGCCGGTTTCGTCGCCACTGTATTCTCTTTTTCCGTGGCAGGCTGTACCCGCGGTGGGCGTCCTCGACGTTTCGCAGGCGCAGGCGCTTCGCTCTGCTCAAACTGGTCCACGGTAGTGTCGCCAGGTAGTTCGCTAGCACTGGCCTCGAGTTCACTGATATCAGAGACGCGCTGAGATCTTCGTCGTTGGGTAACTGGCGCAGGACCGCTCTTCTTGCTTTTGTGCGATTCTGATGCTTGTGCAGCAGGTCCCCTTTTCCGTGGTTTCTCAGTAGCTTCCGGGACTTCTTCTGTGACATCTACAACATCGCTTTTGCGCTTCCTGCCTCTTTTTGCTGGCTGCTTGACAGGTTCTGGTGCGATTTCCGACTCTTCCTCAGCCAAGTCTTCAACAGCCTCCGCAACTGTCATGGATTCGTCGCCAATCTGCGCCACAAAACTTTGCTCCACCGCGGCCATGGAGCTCTCGTTTGCTGTAATCTCCTCTTGCACCATGCTCTCTTCTAGCATCGCACTCTGCTCTGGCAGCGGCGAACCCTCACCATCCTCGGGGATGTCGTATACATCTGAGCGCTTTCCGCGCCGCGCACCGGAGCCACTCAGTGCTGGTGTTTCTTGCAGACTCGACTCGTCTTGTTCGAAATCAAGCCGTCTAGCAATCGGATGCGACGAAGCGCGCGTGGGACTCGAAGGAGCGGCCGAGCTTCCCCTTGGCACCATGGATGATTGTCGTCGCGGCGAGGAGCCAAGCATTGTCTTTTTGGGCGAGCGCGATCGAGGCGGAGGGAGGTTTGTACGGTTGTTGCGCAGGAGTTGGCTCGATGTCTTGAAGTCGGGAATGGAGCCTGTACACAACGTCAGAATGCACGCTTTTGCACGCGCAACACTGCGCGGACAAGCGCCGTGAATCAGACGCACTTTCTTGTAGTTCCATCGACTCTGAGCCTGCCGCGTTCTCACTGCGCTTTGGCGGGGACCTCTCCGGCGACGAGAAGATGCCGGAAATGGGCTCGAGACCATGTTCGTCGTAAACGCCCTTGTCTGCTAGTGTGATGCCTGTCTTTCTACGCAATGTGAGCGAGCGCGCGCAAAGTCGCCCAGCGCATGTGCGTACCTTCCCTGAACACCGACATTGTAATAGTTGTTTTCGCGATTTTCGCGCTTCTTCGGGGGCGCCATTGCTGTGGCTGTCGTCCAAAAGGGCTGGGTGCGCGTGTTGGGGCAATTGACGCGTCGTTGGCGGTGGGGAGAGTGGTGGAGGCCGTTGGCGGTGGGTTGTTTGGGTTGGGGTGGGATGTAAACGAACATGTGGGCTTGGCGCCGCCCATGGCCAACATCAACACCAACACCACGGCCGCCTTGGCACCAGAGTAGCGTGCGGTGCACTGTACATGTCTGCCCACTCCACGCATGGTCCCTGTCTGGCTAGCCGCAGTCGTGTGCATCACATCATCTCACTCAGGCCTCGCACCATCATAGCTCGCCCGGTTCGCCCGTCGTAGCACCGGCGCCCCCGCACAGAGCTGAGTACTGCACGCCGACCTGCCTTCACAAAATTCAAATCAAGGCTAGCGCACGCCCATCACGGTGCATAAATTGGCGCCAGTATAAGTTGAGGAGCCCACCCAATCGTGGGAACTTTTCCGGTCTCTTTATTCAACCTCAGCCCGAGCCTTGGGCCGCTCAAGGGCAACCCCAAGGCCAGTCATCCGCCAAAAGATACCTCGCTCTCCTACAGCCACAGTCCACGTGCAGACCACGCACTGCTCCATTCATTGCTCGCGTAAGGATCCGCTCTCCTATCCCCCCACATTTGTATCTCCCACCAAATGCTTTTCCTGGATCAAGACTTTTCCGATAACCAACTCTCGTGACAGAACAGCCAACTGTGGAAAAGGCCGTCCGATCATGCCCGGGCGACGATGTGCTTTTCGTGAAGCGTCGAAAAACGGCAGCAAGCCGCAGAATGAAGATGTACAAGAAAGGAAATCGTAATCATGTCGATGATTCGTCACAGCGTGGGCGCAGTCCTAATGTCGCAACGCCAGCTTGCCGTCATGGTTGCATCAGAGCAGGCGGGTGCATCAAATCTCCTTCTAGACCAAAACATCGACGGGGTCCAGACACACCCTAGTTGGGGCACGCACTCTGGACGTGGCCAGGCTGCTTGCAGCGGTAGCACACACGCTCCGCAGACGTCTCCTGGGGGCAGTCACGAGACAGATGGCCAACCTCGCCGCCTGAACAACGTCAGTACCTGTTCACACTGTGCTTTCACCACATCAACTCACAGTTGTAGCACTTCTGGCCCTGGGTGCAGTCACGGCTCATGTGGCCGAAGCCACCGCACGAGTAGCAAGTAGTCTGGCGAGCGCCACCGTAGCCGCCACCGCCACCGCCACCGTAGCCACCGCGACCTCCAAAGCCGCCGTTGCCATAGCCGCCGCCCTGAGAGCAGTTGCGGGCAATGTGACCGACCTGGCCACACTTGTAGCACTCCTGGCTGCCGCCGCCACGGCCACCCATGGGGGCACCGCCGTCCTTGGTGCACTCGCGCGAGATGTGTCCGGTGCCACCGCAGCGGTAGCACGTCTTCTCGGCCTGGGGAGAGGTGCATTCACGGCTAACGTGGCCCTTCTCGCCGCAGTTGTAGCAGGTTGGTGTACCCTTGGTAGGGCACTCAGCAGCGCGGTGGGACGCATCTCCGCCTGGACATTGTCAGTAAAGGCGCACACGGCATATGGATGTAATGAGGAGCGGGTGGCGGCAATGGTGATGGAGCCAAACAGCGTGCTTGTCTATGGGAAACGAGCAGTCTGGTGCACAACAACATCCAGAGTTTGCTGGCTGGCCACTGTGGGGTCGCCGCGCAAGTGCGCCGTTGGGTGAAGGTGGCGATATTCAACTTACAGTTGTAGCAGCCACGGCCACCGGCGCCAGCAGCAGGTGCTTGGTAGTCCATGTTTGTTGGGTTTGGTGGAAGAGACCTGTGCCTGTCAGATATTTGTCCTGGGCAAAGCCACCCGTCCTGTGGGCACTGCTCGTACTGTGAAGGGTGGTGAGGCTCAAGGGCGTGGCGTGGCAAGGCTGCGTCTCGAAATGGGCAGTCCAAAGAGTTGTTTAGGTCGCACTGCGGCCAATTGATCAATTGGGAATTTTGAGGGGTTTGGGCGTGGGAGGAGGGAGCGAGGGGCACCAACAGCAATGGAAAATATGTGCCCGCGGTTGTGATTGCGCTAGTCTAAGCGAAATTGGGTCTAGTGACATCGTCGCCTCCTTCCCTGTGGATGGGTCGGGGTGTTTGGTGGAAGGGGCGACCGTTGTATCATGGTTTGCGCGCAGGGAGGGTCCGGAACAACTGCGCCCGGTCCGCGGCACGGCGTGGTGAAGTTTGGATCCACGCGTGATTGGGGCATGTTCTCTCACTTGGGCTCAACGCCATTGGAGAGACCGCCATCGCTTGACAGGCCTCATGCAGATCTCCGCCTGTCCATGCAGCTAGCCGGGGAAAGATAGATCGCGTAACCGATCCCACACGTGGTGGCACGGCGTGCGAATAATGCCATCAAGTGATTACTTTACACCTGATGCCGTAGAACATGCCTTTTGTTTCTCAAGTGATTTCAGCCTGACGACGCAGCCGCGAGAAATACGACTTGCTGCAATATTCTCCCCGGCGCTGTCATGGAGCTATCAACTTGCTGCTACCACAGGAGAAATCATACATGACCAAAGCGAGCGTCTCTTCCACCAAGTTGCATCACCCAACACCAGCCACGTGAAATGTTCAACAAGTCGTGTTCGCAAGCCCTAGTCTACAGTCTACAGGCCCGAAGCTTTCCCTCGCTATCTTGGAGGGTCTGGAAGCCCGTCTACTCAGCCCTGACCCCGCTAATACCTCGACCCACTGCAAACTCATCCTCGTCAATTGCATATCTCCAATGAAACTATATATTTTCTAATTTGCCCTTCATCCATCGATCAAGCAACAAGTTGCAAATCGGGCTTGTGGTTTAGTGGTATAATACTCCCTTAGCATGGGAGTGGTCCGGGGTTCGATTCCCCGCGAGTCCATCCTTTTTTGCAGTTTTAGTGGTCGTGAGGAAGCAGTAGACTGGCTGGTATAGATGGTGGTGAGGAGGGTTAAGGCTTTTTTGCCATGTCCGCCCGTGCATCCCACCGACAACGCATAATGGCCAAGAGATCGTGGCCAATACGAGCTGGTGGTATTCGTGATTACAATAGGCTTGTTGCTATGAATGTGTTTTTTGTCGATGCACCCCACGCCATGACTGCACTGGCAACGAAGACAGCTTTGAAACTCAACCTTGGCCAACAGGTTTTCTCCCGCCAATGGTTTGACGATACGGACAAACAGCAATGGGGGGCACTGGAGAATATTCAAGTATCGCAATTATGGCCGGATACCTCCATTGGCGCACATCGCGAAGAGAGAGACCCTATCACATGACATTGATCATGTGATGTACACTGACATGTGGATAGATGCCTCGATTACTCCACAGAGGGCCCGGCTCATCAGAAAACGATGCAACATTCCAACCAACCACGCCTGACATACCCGGTGGTTCCGATAGACCAACAATACATATTCCCCTAACCAGAAGACGCCCCGGCAACGTTCCCCTGAGCCCATCTGCCTTGCATTTCACACTCCTATCCAAGCCAGTGATCAAAATTGGGAAGGGTGTCCAATAATGTGCATGACACGAAAAAGAAAGTTCGTTCATTTCCACAAGGCGACGAGGCGGCGGGTTCTTCGCGCATCTGCCGAAGTGCCCAGGCGTACGCTAGCTCTTTGAGACACATGCATATCCACGAGGTCTCCCTTACAGGCTGAACATCAGGCACTGCACCAGCAGCCTACAGGCTATCACCTGTAGCTATCGTCTTCTATTTTAATAAATTGCCAGGGCACATCGTCATTCTCAGCGGCTCAGGCAAACAACATGAGCCGTGCTGTCGCCATTTGAAACGCCGGCGGTTAGCTCTTTGTTGGCAGTGCTGCCGCCTCGACCGTCAGTTTACGCGTCCGCTCAAACGGATTCTTCAATGGACGTTTTGGCGGGGAAGGCCAGATGCAAGAGCAAAGACTATTTTGTTATACCGAGGAAGAGACCCGGTTTGGTGCCGTGTAGACAAAAGCACATTCGACAGCCGAGGGGCCGTTGAACCTCCATTCGCGATCACGGCTTAGAGCAAGGGCAGGCACCCAAGACAGGCCCGTCTTGGGAACTCCAAATTTGGCATTACGGGTGTTTCTTGCTTGTGCCAAGCGCGGGCGCTAACATGATCTGCGCTTCTACTTACCTGGAGATGATCCAGGGGCGGGTTCTTGGCTGCGAAAGCCACAAACACTCTTGGCTTTCACTACGCGAGTCTGCTTCCAATAATGCAGCCCGCAATACTCATGATGCTGAATATGTAGCGCCTTGCGCATGACCAGACGCCTGCGGCTTCAGGTACAGCGGTTCGCAGAATTATGTGCACTCTCCGTAATCGAGCATGCTGGGTGTATACCACTCGAAGAGATTCACCTCCAACTACAGATTACGGGAGTCTCAACGTCTATGTTCTGCACCAGCCATTGCATGGTCCGACACGGTGCGGCTGAGCCATCCAGGGCCAAGCACGCTACTTCTGGGCATCAATATGATTCTTTTTCATACCAAACTCTAGGCAGACCAGGCATGCCGAGGCTGTGCGTCGGTCGATATATATCAGAAGTGTTAGGACGTGCAAGGGCTTTGCTTCTTGACTGTCTTTCTCCTCTCTGCTTGGTCAAAGGGGCAATCCATTCGTTTAAGCATCGTCTTACGTTCGTCGTACATAATATAAGTCGATCTTTCACACACCCAGTCACATTCGCTTTTTTCTCCTTGTCGCGCTCCTTTGAATTATCAGCAGTGGCAATCAGTTATAGGAAATCCAAGACATGCGCTTCATCGGGGTATCCATTGCCCTACTGCTGGCTCCTCCTGTGGCTGCTCACAGCGATGGCCACATTCCAAAGATCTATGGATTGGGGTCAAGCGACATTGCCAAGCTGAAGGCCAGAAACATCCTCGACAGTCATTTCAGACTTCATGGTCCCAGCCAACCTTTGACCAACCGTCAAGGCGGCGCTAATGGTCGATGTGGACCCGATCACGGTCGCGCAAGCTGTGCTGAGGGATATTGCTGCTCTCCATCGGGCTACTGTGGAAAAGGGTGTAAGGTACCTGCTTACCTAGTTGACGTGAGCAACACACTGACATGGCATGTTTGAACAGCGGACTACTGCGCAGCACCGGACTGTCTCTTCCAATACGGTCCTGGCTGTGATGCCAACAAGATCCCCACTGGAGGCAGTACACGCAACACTCCTCGTACGAAGCTCGGGAAACAGGTATACGGTGGAGAAGGCATCTATGCTTGCGCTACCCCAAACACTATTGCCATTACATACGATGATGGCCCTTATATTTACACCAACGACGTGCTCGACCAGTTCAAAGCATATGGCGCCAAAGGAACTTTCTTTATTACCGGCATTAATCTTAATAAAGGCGCTATTGATGACAAGAGCAAGCCTTGGCCTGCAATCATCTCTCGCATGGTTGCTGAGGGACATCAAGTCGCCAGCCACACTTGGTCGCACCAGGATCTCAGTGCTATTACCAAGGAGCAGAGGTACGACCAGATGGTCAGGAATGAAGTGAGTGATGTCGCCATAAGACGCATTCGATGCGTTTACTAACGTTTTTCTTTCTCTAGATGGCCATCACCAACATAATTGGCAAATTCCCCACCTATATGCGCCCGCCATACTCTTCGTGCACTCCAGCGTCTGGGTGTCAACAAGACCTTGCGGACTTGGGATATGTTGTATCCTACTTTAATCTCGAGTAGGCATTGCGAAAATTTATCTAGAAGACACTTACTAACCTGTGGAACAGCACCGACGGTCATATACCCTGAACTTCTCCTTGCTACAATGACACTTGCTAACGGCGATTAGACTACAATAACGTAACGCCCGACTTGATTCAGAATGCCAAGAACAGAGTTGACGCCGCCGTCAACCCCAGCAATCCAAAGGTAGACAATTTCCATGCCATTGCACACGATATCCATCAGCAGACGGCACAGAACCTCACGGGTCATATGCTTGACGTTATGACCAAGAAGGGATACAAGCTGGTCACATTGGGTGAATGCATGGGCGAGCCAGAGGCAAACTGGTACCGCACTCCGACTGACAGACCCGCCTCGTCGTCTGTCGTTACACCGGCCGGTGCCTCTTCCACTACTTCTAGGACCGCTAGTGCTACGTCTAGCGGTGCTGTTGCCACTCCTACGACTGTGTCTCCTGACAGCTCTTGCGGAGGTGCAACAGGCTACACATGTCTTGGTAAGTTTTCACACCTTGTTTGGACATGAGCTGTCTAATGACTCTAACAGGATTTGCTCAGGGTGAATGCTGCTCCACGTACGGCTTTTGTGGAAACACAGAGGGGCACTGCGGAACTGGTTGCCAGAGCGGCTTCGGAAAGTGCGGGTTTTCTTCGTCCAGCGCCGCATCCACCCCATCTAGGTCGATTGGATCTACTGCAGTGGTCCCAAGCTCCACTGCCAGCTCCACTCCTGGCGGCGTTGTCTCTGCAGATGGCTCGTGTGGCGGGACCAAGGGATATACCTGCGCTGGGTTTTCCGAAGGCGAGTGCTGCTCGGCGTATGGATGGTGCGGTAAAAGTGCCGATTACTGCGGCACGGGCTGCAACCCACTGTTTGGAAAATGCTCGTCTTCGGGGCCTGTCACGAGTTCCTCGGCCCCTGCGGCCCCTTCGACACGTAGCTCGACTCCCCCGACACGTAGCTCAACCACGTCCACTCCTGGCCTGAACACGTCCACTCCTAGCTTAACCACCTCGACGCGTACCACTGCTACCAGCACTCGCACATCCTCTGCCCCTGCTACTACATCAGGCCCCGCCCAGATATCACCGAATGGCACCTGTGGTGGAAAGGCTGGCTATACTTGCAAGAGCTCCTCCTTTGGCGAATGCTGCGGCAGGAATGGACGGTGTGGCAACAGCCTCACCTCGTGCATGAGTATACTAGGGTGCCAGAAGGCTTTTGGGTCTTGCCGGTAAATGGCGTTGCTGTTGTTCATAATTGTAAGTAACATAACTTTCCATGGATCCTTGGGCCATGTGTGACTCCTAGGATGAGGTAAATAGTAATGAATGAATCTCGAAGAAAAAAAAAGATAACGTGTCATTGGAAACATTGCTGCATGACACCGGCGTGAGGAGGACGCGTCCAGGAAATCACCACAGCCTATCAACGCACACATGTCCATTGCGTTATCGGCTGCCGGGTGGTGTAATCCGCAGCAGAGGCAACCAATCTGCGGCGAATCCGTTGCTGCAGTGTGAATGTGAAGGTGAAAGTCGGGCGGCTTGGCTATCTGTTGTCATGACGTGGTGACGTGCCACCCGGTTCTCCGCCGCCACCGCCGTGCAAATCGCGCTAGCCTAGCTTGCCTGCTGGCGCCAACTAAGTCACCTTGAGCTTGTCGAGCCTCTCTTCTGCATCGCCAATTGACACCTGCGCTCCATCGCAGCCCGTCACTTGAATTCTTCATTTGCTCCCCAGCATTTCTCTTCTTCCCAACTACCCTTCGACCCGTATAGCTCTGCGGAATCCAAGTGATCCGGGCTTCGGCCGCGCACGCGAATTTTGGGTACTGAGTAAAGTACGTCCTCGACGGCGCCACCTCGCCATCAACAGCAGCGGCAGCTGTGCGTTCTCTCACCCTTGCTAATCCCCGGCTAGATCTGCCCTATCCTCCTTCACCATGGCGGACCTGCAGGAGCTGTTTGCCCGGCTCCAAGGTGGCGCCACTGGCAATCAGCAGCAGCAACAACACAGCTATCAGCAGCCCTCCGTCTCCTCGCCCATCTTCTCTCCCTCACCGAGCGGCCCGCAGCCTCATCATCATTCTGCCATCATGTCGCCCAACACGTCTGTGACGACGACGCCTGCGCCCGAACACGGCCATGTGTCTCACCAGACGCCCCAGCAGCAATCAACCAACCTCCTCAATCTGCTGCGCTTCAACTCGCAATCGGGCGCTGGCCAGCCCAGACGCGTGTCGCAGCAGTCACAAGTTCAGACTTCGGATTTGATGGCGAGCATGATGGGTGGCAGTAGGACGGGCTCCCAGAGCGCTGCCTCTCAAGCTCAAGCTATGCCTGCGCCCGTGCCCTCGCAGCAGCAGAACCCGCAGGATTTGCTCCTCCGCCTGCTCAACCACCCTAAGCCGCCCCAGTCAAGCGGTCGCTCATCTCGGGCTGCGTCAGCTGTGCTTTCTCCGCCCGCTGTGTCAGCTGTGCTGTCTACGCCTGCTGTGTCCAACAAGCCTGAAACGGTTGTGGACGACCTCGCGCAAGATGTTGCCGACGCTGCGCTCGAGCAGGTGCCCGCTGATCCCGCAGTCCCCGCAGCCCCCGCCCCCGGATCCTCTGCCTCGTCCATCAAGATTTTGGGCTCCGAGGGCAACAACACTCCTTCGTCGCGTTTCCCTGTTGAAGCGTCTTCGCTTGCTCCAAAATTCACCTATGTCAACCCATTCGACCAACTCGAAGCCGCGAGCCCTCGCAACCGCACCCCAGTACAGCAGGGCTCTAAGCCACCCGCTCCAAAGGTCGAGATCCTCAAGAAAAACGCGCCCGAAGCTCCTCCTCCACCGGCCGAGGAAGACGCGCCTGCTCCTGTACACGAGTCTGTGGCTGAGGCTGTGAGTGATTTGGGCGAGCAGGTTGGTCAGCAGATTGAGGCTGCGCTTGCTGAAGCCGAGGGCAAAGCAGCTACGCCCGTGCCCGAGGAGTCGAACGAACCTGCTCCAGAGGTTCAAGAAGTTCAAGAAGTTCAAGAAATCCAAGAGGTCATGACTGAGATCGCTACTGAGATCAAAGAGGAATTCGAGGACCCCAGCAAGGCCAAAGAGATTGAAGAAAGTATTCCTAAGCCTATCGCAGTTGTCTTGAAAGAAGTCGCGACTGAGCTCGCTGAAGACAATGTCGCTGAGAACTGGGAAACTGCCGAAGCGGAAGAAAGCCTCGCCAAGGGTGACGACCAGACGGTAATAGTCTACAGGTTCCCCATGCGCGCCTTTGCTTCCATTCAGGTTAACCAGATGCCACCCCGCAATCTCTATTTTGCCAATGAGCTGTTCATGGACATTGCTCGCTTGAAGAAAGAATTTGATCAGATTGATCGATCTCTCGTCGCTGCTAGCAAGCACTTCATTGTCTATGCCCTCGTCAAGAAGGGCGGTTTCCGTATCATTCGCCAAGAGAACGGACATTACCGCCAGGTGTTTGAGAACCACCAAGAGCGCATCTTCAACATCGCCGTCTGCACTGCCGCGGATGACTCACAGCAGTCTGTTGAGAGCATTCTGGGCATCGGAGTCAATGGCACAGTCTTCTGGACTTCTCTCGACCCTGCCCGCGAGGATCAGTTTGGCGAAAACCTCGACTCCCAGGGCCTGATGCTTCCCCCGTCGCCGTCTCAAGATGATAACACATCTGGAGGTCAGCTCAAGACACGCGCCAAGCCATCCTCGCGTCACCCAGAGTTCTTCGCTGTTGGCCGGGGCAAGTCGATCCACATCATTTTCCCTCGAGTTGCTGCAGAGTACGCTCGCACCAAGAGCCGCATCTGTCACACGGAGAAATATCTCAAGGAGCGCTCTCTCAAGATCCTTACTGGCAAGGCTGGAAAGGACTTTACGTTCAGCGAGGACGACACAATTATTGTTTCATTGGACAAGGCTGGCCGTATGCGTTTCTGGGATATCCGCAGCCTGACGGAGCCTGACCTGGGCAACCCTCGCAGCCCACCACGACAGGTAGAGGTCTCCGAGACTCTGCTCGAGTTCCACACTACGACTCCAAACGCCAAGTCATGGCCTACTTCAGTCTTCTTCTTTGACAAAGACAAGCCATACACTAAGGGTATTGCGCTGCGATATGTCATGGTTGGCATGAAGCAGAACCACGCCTTCCAGCTATGGGATCTTGGTCTCAACAAGGCTGTCCAAGAGATTCATCTACCTCACGAGAACGAATCCGACGCCATCTGCAGCGTGTCGTTCCACCCCCGTACCGGAATCATGGCGGTTGCCCATCCCACAAGGAACTCGATCTTTTTCGTCCACGTTTCCTGCCCGCGTTACAACCTGCCTGTTCTCAGCCAAGCTGCCTACATCTCTCGTCTGGCAAACAAGAGCGACAAGGGCCAGAACCCGCTACCCCCTGTTAATGCTACAGCCATTATGACAAGCATTACGGAATACTCGTTTGCGCCCAAGGGGCAGATCAGGAGTCTGCATATGCTCAATGAGCCTGCTGGTCCCGCCGACGTTGATGACCCTGACAATGCAGCTCTCTTTGAGCTGTACGTCATGCACTCCAAGGGCGTCTGCGTCCTGCGCATTCGGCGCAGCGACCTCGGCTGGAAGAAGGAAGGTGAACCAATCTATCCCAAGGAGGCTGAGCAAGAAGGCATCATCACCATCTCACAGCTCAAGGCGCCACAGCCACCCGTTACAGATGAATCGTCTGCTGCGGGAGACACCCCTGCACCCAAGTCGGTTTCAGATCGGTCCGCCCGCGAGACTGTCAAGAGAGAGAACAGCAACGTTTCCAAGCAGACGATGAACCAAGAGGCCGCTGTGCGTGCATCTACTCTCGCCAAGGTTGAGAGCAAGCAAGATGCGGCTCGCGCAGCAATCATCAATGGTGGTAGCGAGAAGTCCGAAAAGAAAAAGAAGAAGCGCTCGGGTGCCACAGAGGCTGCATCTCAGGTGTCAGCGGCTCCATCCATTCTGACTTCAGCTTCTACTCGCGCACCCCCGTCTATGCCTCCGTCATACGCGCAAGCTGCACAGGCGTCTCCGCAATCCAAGTCTCCTGCACCTGTAGAAGCGCCTGTCGACCAACAGTCTTCCAAGGCCAAGACTCCTGACACCTCTGAGGCGCCCGAGTGGGCCAAGCAGCTCCTTAAGCATCTCCAACGGCAGGCCCCTGCACCGACAGTCATTGCTCCTCCCAGTGATTTGGACTCTAACAAGTTTGTGGCGCTTATGCAAGCTGAGATCACCAAGGGCTTCTCTCGCGAGTTGGATGTCATGTACAAGCGATTCGACGAAGACAAGCGCGTTCTCAACGCGGCGAACGGTGCCAAGCAAGAGGCCATACTACGCATGGTTTCTAGCACACTCAACGAGAACGTGGAAGGTGTCATCAGGAAGATGGTTGATGACAACATCCGTAACGTTCTACTCCCCGAAGTACTGGCCAAGACGTCTGCCACTGTTGAGCAAGGTCTCACTACCAATCTCAAGTCGGCCTTGGGACCTCAACTCTCCAAGGAAGTGGGTGATGCAGTATCTCGAGCTCTGAAACAACCCCAAACGGTCCAGTCCCTTTCTGATCACGTAGCGAAGAAGATCAGCGGCAACCTTGAGTCTATGGTGGTCGCTTCCGTTGGATCCATCGTCAACCCTGCCATGTCGAATCTGACCAACGTCATCGAGCGTCAAATCGGAGCGGAACTTCGTCAAGCTCACACTCAGCGCCGTGAAGACACTGCCAAGATTGCCACACTGACCGACACTGTCCATACCTGCCTGGACACGATTCGGACTATGGCTGCGACGCAATCCGAACTTCAAGCTCAGATTGCCAAGCTTCAGCTGGCCATCGAAGAGCGCCCAGTTCAGACTGGCGCTCGTGGAGAAGGCCCTTCGCGCATTACACGCTCTCCAAAGAAACAAAAGACGCAAGAGGAGCTTGAGATTGAGTCCATCCATAGACTCATGTCCGAGGGCAACTTCGAACAAGGTACCATGCAGTGGTTGCAATCCCCACGCAGTGCTGCACTCTTTGACGAAGTCTTTGTGCGCTATGACCCCGCCTATCTTGCCCAGGTGAGCCCGTTGCTCGCGCTCTCGACTGGAGCAGTGGTTTCTGAATCACTAGGGCGCAACTTGCCCGAACGCCTCATGTGGCTTAATGCTGTCTTTATAAGCGTCAACCCCAACGTAAGTGCATCACTTCTGTTAACTAGCTTTCCTGAACTAACATTCTACCAGGATGCCGACATTCGCGACATCATTCCCAAGATCATGGATGTCGTTGTCCAACGCCTAACGACTGCCTACATCCAGCTCAACGAGAGTACCCCTGGTAGTCCGCTTCTCCGCGTCATTTCTCAGCTGGTCACCAAATGCAATGATATGACTCGCGCCGTTGCACCCTTCAGCCCACGCTGATGAAGTCTAGAAGGTTATCTTTAAACACTCAGCCACAGCAATGAGATGGCTTTGTGCTGAAAATGCCTTGCCTTCCCATGATTGAAGCTACTTGGACTCCCGCCCAAACACGGCGTCCAAGTCTCTCCTGCTAGTGTTCTTTGATACCCGATTTGGATCATTACTGAGCATCACGAACTAGCCAAGATGCACATATGTACGATAAGATGGGATTTATGGTGGCTAATGGGTAATACAACGATGTTCAATATGCCTTCGGCCCGCCTTGTTTCCCGTGATTGACAGAAGTTTTACTTGCCAAGGCGCAGGTGAAGGCGGCTAGATTGCGCAATCGACGTGCGAATCATGTAACGCGGATGCAGATTTTCCCACTTTCTTCCATGGCTCTGCATCTATGTACTGTTCACCCACGCGACGCCAATTGCGGGTCTTCAGTATCTGCGACGAACCTAGGGTTTATGGCCAATCACAATGCAAAGCTAGTCGTCGCATAACTGTTACAGATGCCTACATCCTGGTCTTCTGTTTCTGGTAAAGGACAACCTAAAACACGAACAAGTCTTGTGGCTGGAGTCAGCCAGTAAAAAGCTACCAATTCAAAGACGGCATGACATTGTGCGGATAGTGTCGCCTGGCAACTCGAATATCCGTGGTTGATGCATAGCCAGTGTGGAGCTGTACGATGACGCAGCGCGAGTCGCAAGCTAGTGTTATATTTGTGTGTGAGTCTATGTAAAGTGGCTATGTTGGGCGAAAAGAAGCTATTTGGAAACGCAACGCTCATGAATTGCGGTTTTTTCAAGTATATGCCTGAGCCTTAATATCTTGTCCCCTTGGCTCTGGCGCACGATAACGGTTTTTTGGAATCGAGTTTGTTTTGCTTCTCTCTCCTTCGTCTTGATCACATATCGTATTCTTTTTTGCCTCTCCTTCTGACGTTCGGCCTTTACTTTTCCTCAACAGGCATCTTCTCAGCCTTTCTCTCGCTCTCTCCCATTCTTACCCTCGCTCTCCCCTCCCGCTTTCCCGCCATCCGGTTACCCGAATCCCCTATTACTGCTACTACCACCCACAGAGAGAGGGGTTTTCTTCGATTCTTGACGCTCTTTTCTGTACAAACGTTAAAGTGCAAACTCGCTGCCACTGTTCTTTTCTATTGCCAAAGTATCGTACGCAAGTGACGTACGCACGCAGATCCGCGCAGCCGTTCTTCTTCTCTATAGTGAGAGGAACATATTGAGGCACCAGCCACACACACCACTTAGTAAAGAGAGGAGAAACCACAAGAGCAAAGATGAAGAACTGGATGCTTCCTGTGCGCGCCGTCCAGGCTGTGCTTTCTATTGTTGTTCTTGGGTTGATGGCTTACGGTACGCATAGTCCTACTCCTTATCCGATACTTCGACAATCTACTCTCTTATGCTCGTCAAAAATCTCGCATCATGCCTATATATTGTCTTTATGCCAAAGCATTCTACTTACGATTCCTACAGTGTCATCATGGTGGGCAACACACTGGCGACAGTCATCTCCAATGGAGATAAACTACCTCATCTTCGCACCAGCATGGAGTCTCCTTGTCCTTGCCCCTCTGATTCTCACATCGTTAAGCAAATTCGCGCATGTGGCCGAGAAGGGCGCAGTCAAGTGGGCTTTGCTCGGAGTCGAGGCCATGACCATGTTGTTCTGGCTAAGTGGCTTCGTGGCGCTCGGAGTATTTCTCAGTGGAAGAATCTGCTTCGGCATGGTACGTGTTATCTCCACCTCTTACTTTACATGTCAAAAGCTCCGCTAGGAAAGTCTATACGAGCGAAACCAAATGGAAACCAACTAAAGGAACACGGTGAAGCTGACCAGCGTTTTTAGGTCTGCGACGTAGCTCGCGCGAGCACCGCCATTAGTGCGATCTCGTGGGTTGTATGGTCGGTCACTTTCTCGTTTGGCGTGATTGCACTGTTGAAGGAAAGAAAGGCCGTGGCGAATTATGCGAGCAAAGAAGTCAAGATGCACCAAGGCGTGTAGACACGAGCTTAACTTGACGGCGTAACGGGGACATGACTGGGATAGCCATCATCAGGCATGATGGGCGGCGCTTTGTGTTTTTTCTTCGTGAAATCTAGGTCGCTACTTTGCTGTGCTTAGAGCAGCGCTCCATCTAGTCGTAAATTCTACTATTTTCCAAACAACTTTGTTTGCCATTATGCCGTGCAGGGATTGGTGATGGCTTGCATTTTAGACAGGTGTAAACGCGGATAATGCCTCAGGGTGCCACGGCTGCCACAGATGCCACACGACTGAGGCCCACTCTGTCAAAACTTGATGCCGCATGACGCTAAGGAGGAAAACAAAACCGATTCATACATATCAAAACGGAACAACGAAGGGTCCAGGTTGCTCGTGCCACCGAGGCACATGGTCGTCTTCGGCGTATTACGTTGCACAATAGATGGATTCAGAAATTTGTCACAAACACATGTTGAAGAAGAGTGGTGATGGTGCGAGAAGAACTATGCATATCCCCGAGTGAAACGGGGTGCCTTTTGGAAATAAGTACGTCCGGAGTTTGACGAGGGAAGCCAGAGAATGTGCCCAGCAGTGTGCGACTCTCCTTGACATCTCATTTTAAAACGCGTGGTCTGTAACAATGCAGGAATGCGGTGTTGAGGTGCAGTGCTGCACATGCCTGAATTTGACATGTGTGCCTGACGAAGCCCTGCTGAAACGGTGAAGAGACACTACGTGCCTGAAGATGCAGGTGTTCGGTCTTTCAGCAATGCACAATCAAGAAACACCCCACAGTCCTCCGAGGACTTGCAAAAGGCATGTAGAGCTGCAGATGAAGTCACATTACATTTCTGGACAATAAACTTTCGACTGTAGAGATATTCTGCTGTAATCTATATGACACTGGAAATAACCCGTCTGTCGTTCATTACAACTGCCCCAAGTGGCCTAGCGCCGCCGTTAGCCTGTAACGTACTTGCGGCGGATCTGCACTGGGATACATACATCTGCAACAACACGCCACCCGACCCCCGTCACAGGATGTCTGCTCCCGTATCTTACCTGACAGCGTCTTTTATGTGTTTGCAAGCGCTTGGCGAAGTTTTTCTACGACGCTGCCAGTGTGAGCTCGTCAGCCGCTTATAGGACGTGCATGAAAACAGAGCGGCCAGACGCGATCCGGTCAAGTTTTGACGGCAGGTGGCAGGATGTATACACCCACAGGTCTGCGCAGAGCGGCACCCATCCCGTCCCCGAAGTATTGGCGGGGAGCTTGGCGGGGTCCTGTCGTTCCCAAACCTTCCGCAAATTCCTAATGGTGCAGGGGCATCTGAAGCCACAGTCTAGCGCACGCCTGATACAAGGGCGATGCGTGTCAGCGCTATCCGGCTGGGCTTCTAGTAGCCTACGAAACAAATACATCTTCCCTCGCTGCTCGACAGTCCAAACAATTTTCTTTTCCTCCTCCAGCTTCACACGCGCGGGTAACCAGTATACGCACCCTTAGGCGACTTCTTGAAACGTCAGTCTCATCAAGACCGCCTCTGTCTGCACGCGAGAAGACAATATGCCGAAGACCGCTGTCTTCACGACCATCACGCCTCTTCCAACGGGCATCACCAGGAAGAGCGTGATAGACATGTACCATGACCATCTGGCCATGATTGACCTGAACCCCTTGGTAGTAGAAAGGTTCATGTGCAAGCCTCCTTCATATGCGCCCACAGACGAGTACTGGTCTATGTGGTACACCATCAAAGGTATACCTGCTTCCTTTATTTTTGTTTCACCCCTTTTTATTGTCCACAGCACTAACATCCTCAAGACAAAGTCTCATACCTACCAGGCAAACTCGCACAAGGCTCAGTCTCCTACCATGCCTGCTTCCACGACACAGCCGATGGCCTCGAGACACACGTATACGCGCCGCTAGGCCTCGACATCCGGGCAAAGTGGAGCGTAGGAGGAAGACTGCCCGGCGAACCAAAGCCCCCCACAGAGCCCGACCTCAAGGTACCACGGCACGGACTGTACATTCGGGAAGATGTCAGGATGACATGCTCATCACTCCTGTTGAGCTTTGTCAAGAGAACCTTCAAGGACTCACATGGGGAGCTAGTTGACAAGCTGGTCGAAAGAGCGCACATTCTGGAATCCAACCTCGCAAACGAAAGACTACAAGCACTGCGAAATATTGACCCAGGCGAGCGCATGGGTCACGGTGACATCTTCATCGCGCCACCACCAGACTACCACCTGTCTCCCACTCACAACCTTCAAGTCCCTTCACCACGCTATGCCACACACTTCAGGAGCCAAAGCGACCCTGTCCTCTCTCCTGGCTTTTCTTCTTCCTCGACGCTCAACGAACACAGCGATGCCTCGCCCAGAGAAGCTGAGCGACCTACATCGTTCACTTTTGTAAAGGAAGAGAAGGAAGTCTCGTCTTCTGCGCCTGAGCAAAACTCCTATTTGCTCCCTGCGACTACGTATGACGGTGGTTTCTCGCAAAAGAAACAAAGGCCTGCTTCACTAGGTCCTGTCAGCCCGCTTGGTCGATGCTCCGAGGCATTCATCTCTGAGCGCATGATCTCGCTCATGCCACTCAGCCCACGTTCCCCATACCCCCCATCGCAACACAAGCCAATCTCTTCGCTACACGCACCCAGGGTTTCATATACAGTGGAAGAACGACCAATCTCTTTTACCTTTCCCTTCGACCCCAAGCAACCCTTCGACCGCAAGTCGACCACCGAAACCACTCACTCGGATCAGAACAACCTCCTCGACGACATCGACGATGCGATCGACGAATTCATGTACACATTACCTTCATCTACATTCCAGACACTGCCTGCAACGACGTACTCACCCGAGCCGACGCTGTCCAGCGCGAGATATACCCCGGAACCTACATTGTCCAGCGCGACGTATACACCCGAACCCAAGCTTTCGAGTGCAAAGTACGTTCCGGAAATTACTCTCTCAAGTGCCAAGTATGATCCGAGACACCAGCGAAAGGACTCGGCTATGCCTTCTCAAACATCATCTGAGGATGATGAGCGCCCACCTGTACCACTCAAGGATGACAAGTACCGAAAGGGCAGCATCCGGTTCTAGGACTGCGCAAAGGCTTTTCCTTTTTTCGTTTCCCTTTTTTTCTTTTCCTTTGTCATGTCATCACAGATTCCCTATTTCCTTTTATGACTTGATACTCGATATCCACGTATTTCCTTTGTTACTTTTTTTTGGGCTATAAAAGCGCGCACGGTGTCTCAGGTTTTCAAAGAGGGAGGGAAGGGGGGTGGGCCAGGCATTCTCGACTTTTCTATATACCCACATGTCACATGTACCACCAAGATGATAGACCTATAGGCCCTTGTAAGAGGCTACAAGGTGTGCTATGCCAACGAAGCGTCTTCCGCTTCCGCTTTCTTATGTAACACTCAATCATCATTATCATTTATCTCTCAGAAGATACATTACAGCCTTCATTTTTGCCCTCCTGCAACTGCTGCAAAACGTGACGCGTCACACAAATGCAAACAGAGACTCTACCAAGAACGTCTCATGGTCCTTCATCTTAGCCAGCATAGCACACTGATATTGTCCTCTCTCTCTCAAATCCAATTCATAGTTAGAATGTGCGCCAAAGCAGCATCCCACTTTGCCCTTCTCCAAAATTGGTACATGGGCATTTCACCAAACCCGCCCGTGAACCGAATGTGTCCCTTTTGCTGCTCCCGCATGTCGCACAGTAGCCTCTCAAGCGCCTCGAGCATGTTCTCGCTTAGCAAACTCTCGACGTCGACGACGCCATGGCGTGACGAGATGTGCGTAGCAATGTCGAAGAAAGAATGCACGATGTTGTCCGCGGTTGGACAGAGCGAATCCATCATACGACGCTCATACTCAGACAAGCTACTGTACAGTTCATCTGCATTGCCGGCGTGGAACGCGTGGCGTAACCGCCGAGACGTGATACGAGGAGCTTGCCATGAACGCCACATATGGTACCGGTACGAAGATAGCATCGACCAAGTCTTGGACCAGGTATCCTCGAGTAGCTTGTTGATTTCCTCGGCGGAGAACAGGGGCTCCTGGCGTGTGGCTTCAAAGGCGTTGCGCCTGGTTTCACCGTCCGTGTCTTGAGTGTCTCTTGTTGTCAATGTGCGGAGATAGTCTTCTACATTGTCTTCGTCGACTTCCTCGTAGCCTTCATCATGCTGTTCGTCGTAGTGGTCTTCATAGTCAATGTTGTCTTCTTGCAAGGAGAAAAGCTGTCTCCGGCACATCGCACACGTGTTGACGCCGACCTGGCTCAACCAGACCGTGATGCAATCTTTGCAGAAGACATGCTCGCAGGTAGCTCCGTCAGAGAAGGTAACGGCACATCTGGTATCGGAAGTGGCGTCGTAATCTTCTCTGCAGATTGGGCAGTCCGTTGGCGTAGATGGCGAGAGACTCGTGGGTGTAACGAAACAGGAAAGGAATTGCTGACGTGTGCAAGTAGGCTGTGCCATCTTTGCTGTGATTTTTCGAGGCACTGGTCAGGGGTTTGGGTATTGCCTTGCTGTGGTTCTGTACTTATGCAGGTACAGTATTGTGGGTGTACTTGTGACTAGGAAGGGAGGGATTGACGGGGAAATCCACATTGTTTTAAGGATACAGAAAAAATGGAGCGTTTTGGGGCTATCATGAATAACAGAATTTCTACAATCGTACCTTAGTACGCAGCAGTTTGCACCATTGGTTTTCCAGGGAAAACATGATCCGAACCATGGTTGGCTATTGTGGGGACCGCCGTAACAGCGGTTCGATGCCTCTGAACCAAGCCATTACTCATCTCTAAATATCCATTTACCGCCCTTCCTTTGCGCCTCGAGCCACCGTTCTTGTATTACTAATTTCTCCTGTTCTTTCGCACGCTCCCGGTCTTCTTGTTGTTCTTGTGTCGTTGGAAAGTCCACTCTCCAAAAACCCGGTGGGGTCCTTCGGCGCTCGTAAGCCTCACGGTGTTTCCCTGATTCTTTTGCCATTTTTTTGGTTCGCGCTTGTAACACTAGCTCCTTTCGTTCTTCGGATGACATTTGTGTGAGCTGCATATTGTTGTATGCCTCCCCAAGGTAGTCCTCAAGTAGAACCTCTTCTTGGGACGAACTAAGAGGTGCCTGAGCCTCCGCAAGAGTCCGGAAAGTAGACCCACAGCATTGTGGGTTTGTACAACCTGGTAGGCACATGCGGTCTCCACGCTTGCGAACGGTTTCGGAGAATGCATAGCTGTAACCTTGGTTGTAGGATGGGTTTGGCTTGAAATCTTGAACACTGAGTTCTGCGACCGGCTTTTCGCGCAAACGACTTTGGTCTTTCAATGGCGAAGCACGACTCTTACGAGCACTAGATCGTGTTTCAGGCGGCTTCAGGGTCCAAACGGGGCGATCTGGCGTTGGTTCGCCCCGTGGGTCCGAGCGAGACTTGGATGCTGACTTGGATGGCTTTGCTCCATCGGCAGGTGTACGTATCGTGCGCGACAAGCCTGATGGAGGGGTGGGGATCTGCTCGGTTTTGATCTTGACTGGACCCGCTTGTGGAGTCTTTGGCGAAGATTTCGTAGGCATTTGAACCCTTTGATTTATCCGCGCCCGAGCGGACTTTGGCGGTAATCGCAACTTGGTGTCCAGAGGGGGTGAAGTTTCGCCTGACTCTAGCAGCATTTCATCTTTCTGTCGAACTCGATCTCCGGTTTGTCGGAAGCGCTTGTTTGGAGGTTCCTCAGAAGCACTATTCACTACATTTAGATCAATGGGTCTTAGGATAGCATTTTCTGCCTGAGCAGGCTCCGTGGGCTCGCTGAAGGCTCGGGCCTCGATGCTCGCAACCTCTTGAAGCATGGGCGCTTCCATGGCCATATTTGAGGGATCATTTTGCACCAGTCTTCCTTTGTCTGGCACATATTCCGTTTTGATATCTTGTGTCAGCGGCGCACTGCTACATCTCTGCTGGCGGGGTATATCTGTACTGCCTGTGAGGTTCGACAGACTCCTTCGATTATGGCGAGGTGTATTGAGCAGGTTAGGTGCCGGGTCGTCCAGGTCCATTGTCTCGCTGTGTCGCAGCTTGCAGGCAGAGATTGGAGGGCTGCTGCATTGTTCCTCTTTCACATGATATGGCTTGATTGGTGTACCATCGGATGATCGATCTGTATATATCTCGAATCTTGACTTCCGACGCTCTCCACGCTTTCGTTTTGGTGATCTCTCGGAAACGAACTCGGGTATATCTTCGTCGTCTTCAGCGGCCATCAATTGTTCATGCCTACTCATTGATTCAATAGGCTCATCTACCGTCGTTTGACTTGAACTTGGGTGAGCTGGCTGGTGATTGTCCTGGTTTGACATTATGCGTTGGATGCCTGAAGAGACTTTCTGGACATCCTCACCCGTATTGCGGGCTCGCGCGCGTGCGGGGGGCTCGATGCGAGACCGTGCCTTTGGCGTGACAGTGGTACTAGAGCCCTGATTTCCATCGCCAGTAACTAGATTGGGGGATGTCAACTGACGCGTAGTTTCTTCAATAGCGTCCGGAAGCGGATTCATCACATGAGGAGACGAGCGCCCCAGGTCTGCGACAGAACAGGGTGTCCTCACACTAGCCAAAGTTCCTGGACTTGAAGGGATATTAGGTTGATCATCGAGAGAGACATGGCCTGCCGATAAGTGCAACCTTGCTTCCTCTGTTTCTGCCTGGGCCTTTGGTTTTTGTTTCCCTGATTGCCGGTCTGCATACTCTTGCCACGCACGAACACTCTCCTTCATGTCTTTGTTCTTTTGCATGACTGTTGCATTCTTCCTCTCGAGATACTTCACTTTCTGAGATACATCTCTGTACCTCTTTCTTAGTTCGTTAAACTTTTCCGCAAGATTATGGTACTTGTCTTCCGAAATGGCCGAACCAATGTTTTTGACTGCCTCAGGCTTGGGTGATGACGGTGCAACTTCTACATTGCGTGTGATGAGCTGTTGTTTCAATGTCTCAATTTCTTCGACCAGGCGGCGGTGCTCTTCACTTGACACCGTTGGCGCGGTGGCCCTCGTCTCAACATGCGTATTAGTCCTGGATTCAATTTGCTCTTTCAACTGCGCATTTTCCTGAGAAAGACGTGCAGACTTCAAAATCTCGCTATTGAGATTTTCCAACAAGATTTCTTGGCTCTTGTCTTCTGTGGCGAATCAGTCATCATGGCGCTGAGCATGTTGCAACCAACACTTACTCTGCCTCAGCTCTTTCTGGTGCTTCTCTTCTCCTGAAGTGCTGTTAGATGCTGCTGACGCGCGTGGAGACCATACTTGCTCGTATTCCATTCTTTCTCGAGACTAGGCTGTATGACCTCATCATAGACGCGTGACCACAAGGCTTTGTTCTGCTCTACCCAGGCTGTGAATTCTGCCATATCTGAAGCGGAGAGTATGGCATGAGTTTGAAGTATGGCCACACAAGTAACGTGAGATGTTCTCCCATGCGACCGTGGTTGGGGGTTAATGCAGTGCTAGGCAGCGACGTTGATAGAACACGCTAACGCCAACGCGCAGTCACGAGTAAACGCACGGACATTTGGACGGTAGCGATAAGGCACGTTATCGTTCCGAGGCGCATTCGCCTCGCCTTCGTCGCGGACTCAACATTTCGTATTATGAAGCGCGCGCACGATGGGGATGCCGATGAAGAGCGCCTGGTGAAGGCGCCACGGCTATTACATCCTGACAGACTGTCCAAACTGAGCGAGGAGCTGCTTGTGCGCGTGCTTTCCTTCGTTCCTGTCCCGTCGCTGCTAGTATGTCAAAGGTGAGGAGGGTACATTCTCCCGGGACTTCGAGTCTGTACTGATGTTTAGGGCATAGGGTATCCAAGAGGCTCAGCCGACTTGCAGTTGACTCTGAGCTTTGGAAGGCAGCTTACTACCGCACATTCGTTCTCCCACGCGCATCTCGTATACCAGGCATCAAAGACCCTGCCAATCCCAATCGACTTCATTATTCCTCTCGGCTTTCAAAGTGGCTGGAAGATGGCTATCTCGTCAAAGATGGGACACAGACAAATTGGAAACAACAATATCGATTGCGGCACAATTGGACGCAGGGACAATGCGCCGTCAGTGAAATCGTGGTCGCTGAAAGGCCGCCAGATCCACCGCTTCTGGTGATGATGTCGAACAACATCATTTATGCTGCGGACTCTATATCTGGCCTTCGGGCCTGGAGCTCGAAGAATGATCGCGATCTATTGGCATCCACAGAGCTCCTCGACGAAGCCAATGCACCCCGGCTACCCATTTCTATGGCTATAGATGCCTCTGAAGGAGAAGAGAGTGTAGAGAGGGCCGCAATAGGTTTCGAGGATGGCTCTTTTTCGATATATGCACTGAGGAAAAACCATAAGAGATTCAAGAAACTCTTTACGCACCCACCATCCAGCAACGGGATGCTATCGGCACTTGCATACTCGTCTCCTTACCTTCTCACCATGACTGAAGACCACCTCCTTTCCCTCTATGCTTTTGAGGAAATATCGACTGCGCACGGGATGTTGGATGCTCCGAAACTTTTATATTCCCTTCGATCACACACCGCATGGCCACCTGTTTCCCTATCGCTGCGGATGAATGCGTCCGGCATGACCGCCGCCATCGCATATTCTATTCCGACTTATCTTTCTGGTTGGACTGTTGGCGTACAGGAACTAATACTTTCGCATAAAGGGGTCCTCCTTGAATCGAGACTGGCTACTGCAGCGGACGAACATTCGTTTACGCTATCCGCGTATCGCTCTCCGTCTTCACCTTCGGTACGATTTTCATTGCCTATGCCAGGCAGCACAAGAGAAGCAACCGGGACAGGTGGACCGAGCAGATCGAAGCCTACTTCAATGTCATATTCGCATCCATATCTACTCGTGGCACACCCCGACAACACGTTGTCATTGTATTTGGTTCGATCGACATCTAAAGCACTCTCTATCAGCTCCGGGAACCGGCTTTGGGGTCACACGTCGTCAATATCTGGTGCCCACGTTGGTATGCGCGGCAAGGCTGTGTCAGTAAGCAGACTTGGGGATGAGCTCCGCGTTTGGGACTTGGAAGGCGGCATGAACTCTTCTGTGAACCGCAAACGTTCGAGGAATGGAGAACTGAGTGTGCGCATCCAGCCCTCCAAAGTTGGTGAGGTGGACACTCAAGGCGACACATCCGGAAAGCAGATTGGGCTACGCTTTGCGCTAGACCAAGGCTTCGACGACTCTTCAGTTAGCCGAGGATGGGTCGGGTTTGACGAGCAAAATGTCATTGTTCTACGGGAGAAGAGCGAAGGCAGCCAGGCACTCGTGGTTTACGATTTTAGCTGAGATGTAGCGAAGGAGTTGCCGCGTCGGACAGCGAGATACCCCATGTAGCGCTACTTAGTTGTGTCTTCTTTGGCTACTGACTGTTATGTGAACGACATTTAACGGGCGTGGTCACATCTTGGGTCCCGTACAAGAGACCAGTGCCAAACCGGCTTCGTGATGTTGGAACCTGCCGTGGGCAAAGGCGTGTATGGATAGGCAGTCACGGGAGCACAGCTTGGCTGTTTTAAAACTGCCTTCGACAGCGGTCCAGCAGAGGAGACGTCCGCTTGGCTCATACAGATAGCAGCCCGCACCTCGGTTTGGGCATTGTTTGCGCCCCATGGCCGGCGGGCGTCATGCCCACGAGGCGCTAGTGCCCACGCTAATTTCGCAGTTACGTTGAGGGCAGGCGACCATGTGCCCGACCCATCAACTTGAAAACCGCACCACAAACTAACTCGATTTCATCTTCAATTTCCAATACGCGACTTACGTGTAGAACTTAGTCAAAACCTCGGCATCTGCAAAATTGAATACCGCAATGGCGTCCGAGGTAGTCAACAAGCTGCAGAATATGGTAACAGGGGAGTCCAAGAGCGCCCGCAAGAAGAAGGGCAAGCAGGAAGGAGCGACTGCGGTGCCGGCCGCGCCCGAAAAGACGGCGTCTGAGGCCGGTGCGGGCGGCTCTGAGGTCGCAAGCAAGGCCAATGGAGCAGACAGCGACAACTCGTACCTCCGGGAGATCCAGAAGTAAGTCGCAATCTCCGCATTGCAGCCGGACACCTCGTCCACAGTGAGGCCATCTGCTGACGACCGGGCGTACAGGAACATTCGCAATATCAACAAGAAACTGGTAAGCTTATGGTGCCCCTCATCCCTTTCCCTAGCCCTGGCTCACGTCGCATGTGCAGAGCGCAACGCAAAAGGTCGATTCCATAATCGCAGCCAACCCCGGCGTCTCCCTCGATGAGCTCCTCGCGTCTCGCAAGATCAACGCCGACCAGAAGGCCCAGGCTGAGAGGAAACCCGGTCTCCAGGCTCAGCTCGCACAGTATGAAGAGCAGTACGCCAACTATAAGAAGTACGGCGATGAGCTCGAAGCCAAGTTTGCAAAGGAGAAGGAGACTCTGTCAAAGGCACACTCTGGGGAAATCGAGACACTGCGGGAAACCATCAAGGCTGAGGCTAAGCTGGAGCAACAGAAGATTGTCAAGGAGAAACTCCTGACACTGTCTCGCTTCTTGCGCGCTGCTGCTGCACGTCGCCAATTGGAAGACGATGACTCGGATCTCACTAAGGCTTTCGAGGGTGCTCTTCTCCAGGTCTATGGAGGAGATGTCAGCGCTGTCATGGCGGCAGAGAAGCTCATTGACGGTGCGAGCGAGGGTGTGCCCTCGACCGAGGGTGTAGTACTAAGCGTTACTTGTGCGTTTCCAAGGATCCTATGCATAACAAAGCTGAGCTAACTGTGAGCAGATTCCCAGGTGAAGCAGGCTGCGCTCGAGGAGGCTCCATTCGCTGCGGAAGAAGCTTGGGTGGACGAGGTCGCGCAACATCAGACAGCCCCTCTTGAGACGGAAGCCGTGTCCGACCCCACTATCGCCAACGCCGGACTGACCGAAATCGATGCCGGCGAAAAGCCCGTAACTGAAGCTGCGGCGGAGCCTTCAGATGTACCAGCAGCCTCTAACGTTGGAACAGACACGGCGAATGCTGCAGCGCAGGCTCAGTGGGAAAAGCAGCAGAGTGCAACTGACGACCCGTTGACTGAGTCTTTTGAGATGGTCCCTCGAGACCTCGCCGAAACCGAGACACCACACGCTGCTGCTGCCGCCCCGACCAGCACCCAGAGCTGGGCTGATGAGGCTCATGAGCAAAGCTCGGCGCCTGCAGGCCCTGCCGCTGCTAACGATGGCTTCTCCGAAGTTCACCACGGTCGTGGTGGTCGCGGACGGGGAGGCCATCCCGGTGGTGATCGCGGCGGTTACAGGGGCAGGGGCCGAGGCGGTCCCCGCGGTGAATTCCGCGGCGGCCGTGGCCGTGGCCGCGGAGACTTCAGGGGAGGGCGTGGCGGCTTCCGTGGTGCCCCCCGAGGCGAGTCATCGTAAAGTCAAACCCCATGACATTCCTGCAAAATGGCTTGCATATGCTGGAAAGGTTGGTCATGCGAGCCGCTTTCATCCTCGTACGGACAGTGTCTGAGTGGGATGTGTTATGAAAAATGGAAAGGCGTAATGTACAGCCTCATGTCTTTGGTAGCATAGCATCGGTGCATAGGATCTCTATTTCTTCGGGTATGGGACGCTGTACTATATTCTGGGGGATGATCTGGCGCTAAAAAAACATGGCTTGTACGACTCTGAACTGTTTGCCCGTCTGAGCGTGATGTCCGTAGTGTCTGTCGTGGGAACACTGTGCGAGCTATGGGCAACGGCAGGCTGTTACTTGGCACTGAAGCATGGACAGGCGATGACGACGACAGAAGGCCTTGCCCCTGGCAGTAGCGGCGCGTCGATCCGGGGTAAATCCATGGGGGATGTGCTGGCTTATCATCGTCTCCGATTGGCGGGTGGGAGTACGACGTGTCGGTGTGGAGGTGGCAGCACACGCCTTGTCATGACTAACGTGCCACTGTCCCGTACGACGCGGACGAGGCAAGGCGAGAGCAGGCGCATGCTGGACATGCTGTGGCTCTTTGGTGTTTGTTCTCGGCGGATCTTGGTCGAGAGGTCTTGAGCTGAGAGACCTAGGAACGGATGAGCTTGTGTATCAAAACTGGCACTGTGTCACTGAAGCCTGCAGCGGCCCATGGTGGCGGCATGGTGCGGCCTGCGCAAAAACTCGATATTGTCTTTACGTATTGGACAGATGACGATAGCTTGCTGTTCCTCAGGCTCCGGATAGGGGATTTGTCTATGCGGTTGGTGCGGTACTCAGTGCGAAAGGGCCATCCACCAACACAACAAGCTGGTCTCGCAACAGCGATGCACGCACGTGGTACTACCAGTGAAACCCCGGATAGCAGTATTAGCCAGTTTTCGCATCGCACAGGGCTGTTTTGCGGGTTGGTGAGGCGCAACCTGGCTCCTCCACATGGCGGCGCAATGCCCGAACTGGCGGGCTATTACGGCTGTTTGGACAAGCGCCAGTCAAAAAAAGCTTACTTAGCCCCACAGATCTAGATGGCATGTTTCACGCCCGATGTGCATGCAAAGGCAGAGTTGGCTACGAGGCTGCTTGCTTCTTTGCGCATAGCAGAAGACGCTTGTGCAGACAAGCTGCGAAAATCACAGTAGGCAATCATCAGCGACGGCAAAAGGTTGCCATCCGCCTTATGCGACTTTACCTGACGATAGCATGTGAACGGACAGCCAGTGGCAGACGGATGACGCGAAAGGCTATAATCTTATCAGATCAGATATGCAGATGGAGCCTTAAATGACGTGCATATGGCTCCGGACGCGACTCATGTAGCTGACTACGCAGGCCTGGCCCTGGCCCTGGAACGGGTTCGAGAGGGAACTTCTGCGGCGGCTTTCCGGCGCTCACCTCGCTTTGCGGGTGGTTGATGATGCGGCTCGTCCGTTACTGCCCGCCACTCTGGTAGGTTGTATGATCGCTGCTTTTCAATGTTCGCCTGCGTGTAAATTCCATGCTGCCCGTTGAACTCTTGTGTGATTGGGTTTTTGACTTTGATACTCTTGACGGCTTCGGTGAGGTCGGGGAGGGATTCGCGCCTATGATGCAATGAGCAACGAAATAGGGCTTGGTAACGACACGCCGACTTACCATTCTTTTGGAGGAATGACCTTGATTATACCAGACTTCATTCCGTACTTGTCGACCTTTTCAATGAAACGCTGAAAGTTGCGAAACTGATCCATTGTCTGTAGAGATGATTGTCAGTCCCATGCAGACCAGTATCGCTGCGCTACAACTATAGCGACGATGCGCGCATCGCCTTGGTTCTTTCAGGAAGCTCATCTGCCTGTTTGCGACATACTGGCTTGAACACTGGTATCTTTCCTCCTTCAAAATAATGGTCGGGCTCGATATCTTCGCCGTCGTCACTGTCGAGATCGGTGAGTTCGGACGACATTCTCTCAAAGCGCTTGTCGTTGTCTTCGCTCGTGGGCGGCGTCAGGGCGGGTTTGGCGGCGGCATCGTCTTGCGGAAGGGACGGTGCCTCGACCGAAGGCATGATGTCTCGCGGCGCCTCCATTGCAAAGACGGGTGTGGTGATTGAGGCGCAGGCGTGCCAGGTAGGCAAGAGCTTGTCGGCGACGGTGGTTATGGTTCCGGTGTCGATGGGGTCAACATGAGTCGCTTTCTACGCCGCGGACGGCGCGCGCAAATCTATTCGCACCGCAGTAATTTTACGAGCACCGCTAGCGGTCCACCGAGCTTATGGTACTATTGGATATGGATTTGGCAGCGTCTTGAAGCGGGTAGGTCGTTGAAGATGCCAGGAGGCAAGGTGTGCGAGAACGAGGAGGTTGCAGGCTCCGGGTCTGTGCGCGTGCCGAGCTAGTGCTTAGCGTGCATTGATCCCGGTTCGTCGACTGATAATCGAGCCACCTTTACAATGCCGACAGAGGCGTGAGAGGCTGCTCTAGGCCGCCTTCAATTGGAGCGTCGCGAATGATGCATAAGAATTTGCTCCAGCTACGTAGGTGCGAAACGCGTGCTCAGCCGGGTCCCGCGAAAACGGATGACGCCTCGCCTGCACCCAGGCGCGGCCCCGGACGTCCTTCCCGGAGGCGCCAGATCAAAAAAGAGCCAGTTGATGAAGAGGAGGACGACGAAGAGGCCATGGATGTTCCTCCTACTCCGACGTCGCCTGCAAGGGAAGAAAGAAAGACGTCTTCGAGAAGAGTCAAGAAAGAAATCCGGGATGCGACACCCACTAGAGCACGTGGCCGACAGCCCAAGACGGTCGACGAAAAGAAGTCTGTCTCATCTCGACGATTGAACAACAGAGGCGCCATGGCGGATCACATTGACGAGGCTGCCTTTGAGAACTTTGACTATCGCTTGCCTGGCCTCGAGGAGTACACGACTGAACGCTGCAAGGAGCTTGAGGAAAACTACTGGAAGACAATCAATTACGGCCAACCGATGTATGGTGCGGATATGCCAGGATCCCTTTTTGACGACAGTATTACCTCTTGGAACGTAGCGAAATTGCCCAATCTTCTCGATGTGCTTGGAACCAAGGTCCCTGGTGTCAACACCGCATACCTGTATCTGGGTATGTGGAAAGCCACGTTCGCCTGGCACCTGGAAGACGTGGACCTCTACAGCATCAACTACATTCATTTTGGTGCCCCCAAGCAATGGTACAGCATATCGCAAGAAGATGCTCGTCGCTTCGAAGCTGCAATGCAGACCATATGGCCGAATGACGCAAAGCATTGCTCGCAATTCCTACGCCACAAAACGTATCTCATTTCTCCTCAGCGACTGGAGCGAGACTTTAATATCAAGGTCAATCGGCTTGTTCATTACGAAGGTGAATTCGTCATCACATACCCGTACGGCTACCATTCCGGTTACAACATCGGCTACAACTGCGCTGAGTCGGTCAACTTTGCAAACGAATCGTGGCTGAGCTACGGTCGGATCGCGAAGAAGTGTCTTTGCGAGTCTGACAGTGTCTGGGTGGACGTCAACGAGATCGAGCGCAAGCTGAGAGGCGAGCCAACACCAGAGTACTACGAAGAGACTGACGATGAAGAGGACGAGAACGAAGGTGCGGATCGCCTGCTCAGTCCGCCACCTAGCGTTGCTGGAAAACCCAAATCTAAAGCAGGGCGCAAATCATCTGGCAATAAGAGGAAGCGTGGCAAGGAGGATTCCAAAGACACACCTCGATCAAAGAAGCTCAAACGCATCCGCATTCGCATCAGGATTCCTGGCCGTGGCATGCCTTGTATTCTGTGTCCCAATGATGTCGAGTACGATGATCTGCTGCAAACCGACAATGGCATGCTGGCTCACCGCATCTGTGCTGACTACACGCCCGAGACATATATCGTCAACAAGAACGGTGTTGAGACTGTGTGCAATGTGGCCAACATTGGCAAGGACCGACTTGAGCTGAAATGCAACTACTGTCGGTCAAAGCGCGGTGCAGTCTTCCAGTGTTCTCAGAAGAAGTGCACCAGAGCTTTCCACGCCACTTGTGCTGTAGCGGCTGGAGTACAAGTCGACCTCGGACCCATGCCTACGTTCGACGAAGAGGGTACAGAATACTTTTACGATGGCTACGACTTCCGATGCCGTTTCCATCGACCAAAGAAGAGGAACAACAAGACAGTCGATGTCGATGCATTGGAAAAGGATAAATATGTCATGGCATACGGCAAGACGCTAAAGCCCAGAGACGTGATTCAGTTTCAGTATGTGGGAGGTGAGATGTACCAAATCTATGGTGCACAAGTGGTGGAAAATAGACCTGGCGAGCAGGCTGTCCTGGTAGACGTGCTGCCTGATGGGTACGTGAAGCAGATCTGGTTGACTTGCTGCGCTAACATGAACAGTGACCGTGTCGAGGTTGAGTGGAAGTACATCTTGAAGCTCCATCCAGACGAATCTCAGAGATTGAAGCCATCTGCAAACGCTAAGCCGCTTCCAGAACATCTCAAGGAAACCGACGCTTCTCTCGACATTGCAAACCGTACCGATGGCGTGCCTGAGATGGGTGATCCTTTCCACGATCCCAGCTCTGAGCAGAAGTGGGCTGAGTGGTACACTGCCCCTGAAGTTACGCAAAAGGTGGCCAAGGTCGATCTTGGCAAGGAAAATCAGCTGTGGTACTATCTTGGAAAGCCCTCAACCGAGGCCAGGCCACAGTATACTGAGGACCCTAAGAAGCCGAGGAACAACCCGAAGAGCAACTTCCTCGATACTGTCAAACCTTCCCCTCCTCCAGTGCCAGCATTCCATCGTGCGTCATACCCAGCCTCTTATCCACTCAAACCAGCCCCCATTGCGGTACCTCCACGGACACCTGTACAGCACCATATGCAGGATGGCCGACCATACAGCTACAAGCCAAAGGATCCGGTCATGGCTTCGTTCAGGTCGCCAGTCTATAACCCAGACACCCGCAAGAACCCCAATTCACCTGTTGCACATCAACCAAACGTGAGTTATGACCATCGTGTGCCACCGGGGCAGTATGGCCAACAGTCAAACCAGGGATATCACTCGCACCGACCGCTGCATCCTTCTCAGCAACACATGCAGTATCATCCATATGTTCCTCCGCAAAGCTACTCGACTGCTTCCTGGAAACCATCGGCGTCTGGACCGATGCTCAGCGGCATCGAAAAATATGCGCAACCTTCGCCACATGCTAACCCCTTGCCGCCATATCCTTATGCTCAGAACGGCCGTCAGCCGCCTCCGTACGTGCAAGGTCAAGCACACAGTACGGTGCCAGTTTATGGTCCACCTGGCCGTCAGGGTCAAGCACCATCAAATGGTCGCTTGTCCATTTCAAGCATTCCGAGCAACCCTTCTGGGCCTCCCAAACCTCCAATGTACGCCGTCACACCCTCCTCTAACATCATCTACGCTGCCCAATCCCCTACTGAATACTTGTCCCATATTATAAATTACCCCTACCTCAGAAACTGTTATCTACGGAGGACAAAAACTTACATATCACCCTATAGTCTGGATGGTGGAATTGCACCCGAGTGGACACCAAAGCCCCCTGCACCTAGAACGAGTGGCACCCCTACTACGATTGCGCCCAAGCCCATTGCACCGGCTGGATCTGCCCCTCCCCAGGGATACTATGGAACATTACCCACGGGCTCACCTGCGCCAAGGCCATCAGCACAGTTTCAGTCCTCTGATGCTTTTCAACGTGAAATGGCACGGACAACACAGACGGCCGAAGCGCCCAAGTGGGAACAAATGCTTAAGCAGCTGGCCACAACTGGCTCACCCAAGACATCCTCGACAACTGCCTCTTCACCACAGGAATCAAAGCCTGTGCATCCACCCTCAGGTCCTCAACCAAGCCTTTCCCAAGATGTGTCTAGGAGTGAGCAAGAGCCGGAGGACATAAAGCCGCTTCTGCTACCATCGCAAGAAGTGCAACGGCCAACACCCAGCCCTATTAGCGATGATGAAAAGAGTCAAGTCATAGCTGCACCTAATGAGCTGAAGACAGAAACGCCGCCTTCACAGCCTGGATCAAATGTCCATGGAGCGGAAACATGGCGCTTTTCGTCTTGAGGGGTTTTGTCGTTGTGCCCCTTTGTCCCGATGATCCACGTAGATCCAGGGACTATGTGTCTCGTGGGAGGTCGGATAAAGTATTGTAATGATGATATGTACGATTATCGGGAGGCAGAGTTCGGCGTTTGCTTTTCAACAGGTGTTTTTGTATGTCTGCATATGTTCTCTCAATAGCGTCTTGCTCTCTCTGAAGCGGAATGAGAATTATTTTCCATGCTCAAACATGTGTACTTGCAGTACATCGTCAACACGATTATACCAACACAAGCGAAGGCGGTGACGCCAACAACCCATCCTGCAATATCCTAAACTGGTTTCGGAAGGTTGGCCTCTGCTTGAATATGCAGTATGCACTTTAGCTTCAGAGCTACGAGATGACCTTGAAGCGGGGCATAACTGCGCATCCCCACTCGCCTTTCCCCCCCGCCCTCTATACCTCAAACACATGCACCCAAATCTCGCGACTTTCCATCAAACAAAACTCCGGTATGGTGTATCGGCTAGCATCCGTCGCTTTCATTGCAAAATTCTTGACAATGTCAGCGCCCGACGAGAGCCGGGTTGTAAGTTTTCACCCATGCAAATTATTCGTTCGAATCACAGTTCTAACAACATCTCCAGCGACTCCCGGTACCGGAACATGTCTTCTTCTTTTTTTGAATTTTTTTGCCTTTCGTTGGTTGGAGGGGACGAGTGCTCGTGCTCGTCTAGATGAGGGCGAAGTGGGGGTGTGGACGCTAGTGACGTATGTGATTACACTAGAGCGGAAGGGGGGAGGAGGGGTTTCTTGTTTGTCTTTTTAGGATGACAACACCGAGTGGAGAGGCTAAGGGTGAATATTGGTCGATGTTTTTGTAGTTTGCACATTGTTGAGATATCACTTTTGACTTGATGCGGAGTCATCCCGCGAAGAGTTCACATACCACGTTCATGCAAGGGGAACAGGGGACTAATGTGCTCAACACATGTCATTCAGAGAAACAGCAAGCAGCATAAAGCAGCTCACTGCAAGTAGATACAAGAATTGAAAACACCAGTGCCTTCTGAACTCTCCATCGTCAACCATCCATGTCCTCGCTATCTGCATCTTCTCTTCCTAGTTTTGGTTGAGAAACCAGCCATCTTCGAAATTACACTCGTGCCAAATATTTACAGACGGAAAGCGCGGGCGTGGCGGCGAGTCGTCTGGTTAGAGCTGGCACCGTTAAAAAGGGGGGGACCGGGAATCTTGTAGCTCTCGGGGCTGGAGAGATCGGTCATGATACCGGGGTCAGTGGCGGTGTAAAGCTTGCCAGCCGGGGTCCCCTTTGGGGTAGCAGTGCCGGAGCCCGTGACCTCGAGGTTGATGCACTTGGGGTAGTTCTGGGCGCCATTCTCCTGGGCAGCAGAGTGCAGGGCGATGATCTCGTGACGGAGAACATACTGGCCGGGAGCAATGCTGTCTGGAACAGTGACGGACCAGGAGTTGTTGTTCTTGACGAGCTTGGTGGCAGCCCATTCGCCGTTTTCGTATCCAGACGCAGCGATCTTGAAGAACTCGAGGTCAGACGCCTTGGCGGTCGTGGCATCGTCGACCTTGGCCAGGTAATCTAGGACTGGGCCAACGTGAGACTCGGGCCAGGTGGTCCATTCAATCTCAATCTTGCCTCCGGCAGCTACCTTGGCTACCTTGGCGCCGGGCGTCGCGTCCTTGTGGCAAGCAATCTTGGTGGCGTCGTCGTACATGGAGGGCTCGACGAAGCCGTTGTCGAGGCACTCGGGGCACGACCACTGGATGACCTCAGGAGCGGGATCCTGGTACTGGAAGGCCGGGTCGTAGGCCTTGTAGTCCTTGCCGTCCACGTTGATGGCGGCAAGGTGGCCGTGTGCGCTGACGGAGGCAATGAGGGCACCAAGAAGGGCAGCAGCTTGCATAGTGGAAGGCATTGTTTCGTTTGGCTGTGAGAAATTCGGTGCTTGGAAAAGACTGGTGTGAAGGAATTGCTTCGCTATCAACAAAGTTTGTAAAGAATGCGATGCGCTTCAAGCGTCTGAAAGTAAGTGGATGAGAGTAGAAAGAGTGAATGTGCGAATGACTTGATTGTGTGATGAGGACATCTACATTGCTGGACGAAAGCGATACTTATACCCATATGTGTCCATGTTAATGATCGTCCAGATCCATCTGAATTTGTCAAATGAAAGGAGAGGAGTTTACAGAAACGGAACCACTCTTGTCAGGTGGCCGCTTCGAGACGGTGGAGTCGGTGTACCCAGTGTTTCTCAATATCAGCTTGTCATGCTTGTTTCATGGTGTGGCTTGACATTGTTGTGGGCAAACAATACGTTCTTGTTGATGGGTCTCGGATCGACGCAGGCATTCTTCCAAGCCGAGATTGGAAGGGTCGAAGAAACTGTTGCAGCGCGGGGCCGGGATACGTCATTGGAGCATTCGTTCGGATAGAGTTACTGTACAGTAGTATATAGTAAGAGCCAGCACGGATATCCAGTCCTATTTGCTGCTTTCTACTGTTGCGTCGAGAACTTGGTGTTGGTGAACACGCTTGAACCCTCTGGAGCTCTCAGGCCATCCTAACTCTAACCGTCACGCTAGCCTTGATATGCTTGGCGTTTGGATACATCAGTCAGTAAGAATGTATGCGTCATGAACCGTTCTACCACGCCCAGTGTGGCTGCATCCCAAGCTGATGTGGGTATGGCATTCTGATACACTTATCCACATCTTCATCAATCCGCGTCAAAATTCCCGTAGTTCCGATTCTGGCCTCTGTCACCGTTATCTTCCTCCAGTCGCGTTGGAGCTGAAGTGTTTCACGACTCCTTAACAGTGGGTCAACAACAACTTGCGGCTCCACTAAGCTCCTCACAGTTCCCGAATCCTGGTGCCAAGACTTTGACTGACACAGCCTGCCCACAGGATCGACTGGATACAGTAATTCGTTGCTGATCGAATCCAATCCAATGATTCCTGCCCACTCCGACTCGTGGAGCCCCATTCATGGCCATGACTGCAAAAGCAATGCCGTATGACTAATGCAAAAAGCATCGTTTGGACCTAAATCTGGTGCCAGTTGTTTGCATCACGTGTACTCATTACAAGTTCGAAATCTATATAGGTGTTTGGTGTTGTTCAAGTCGACCTACCTTTCTCGTGCTTTGCTATGTCACATTTGTCAGAAGCTCAGCTCTCTGCCACTAGGCGACTGCAACCAAAAGAGTACGAGTAACCAGTGTTCTGCTGATACTAGGCATAGAATAGTATATGTAGATGCGCAGGTCTAACAACATTCACGACACACAAGCAGCGTTAATCTCCGGTCCTAGAAAGACCAGTCATCGGCAATGAAAACCAGCAAGGGAAAGATTCTCCTGAGTAAGGGAATGATTCACCCCTTAAACAACAAGTATGGTACTTGATTGTGGTGAGCCAAGGTAGCAAGGAGACACGCCCCTTCTCAGGAAGTTCTTCTTAATATGATAATGGATTTTGAGTGGTTTTTTTTGAGCCGAGGCTTTAATCATTCTCTGCTAATACTCCGAGGAGCGCTATTGAAAGCTATGGGCAGTACATCACAAGTGATGACAATCCAATACTATCTGCCGCACTTGCTAGAAAGCATATGGCTTAGGTATATAATGCTAATTTTCAGTGAGCACCAGATCCATTTCCGAAAGCAACAATGAAATATTTCAGGGTCCTAATTCAAGAAGCAATATGCGCAGTCTGTTGTCACTGACAGAAAGCACATTGCATTGCTCCACGGTGTTCTAATTGTAGTTATATGAAGCCACGTGATCATCTTGTTACCTCAGAAAAACTTTTCGCTGAATAGAGTTGAGTTGAAGCATGATCGTTGCTCGTGAGATGTAACCCTCCTATGGTAACGTGTTTGTTGCTATATTTGAAACCCATGTCTGTAAATTATAGACATGCTTCACAGGGGATATCGCTGATAGCTAAAAAAAAATTGGTAGGCTCCATATTTGTCGAGATAATCTCAAGGTCATGCCCGTTGCATAGAACCTGTTAGGGAAAATGCCTCTAGGACTGGGGACTCTGCCGATCTAGGTACGGAAACCCTTCGCGGCAGTGACATGAAGTAGCAGCATTTGTATGTGAAACGATGCTAATAGCAGTCTGGTAGGCTTTATCCGGTGCTATTCTAATGTAGTAATAGTATTTGCCTAGCATTCAAGTTTGCGCTCAGGCAAGATCAAGGTTAAGCAAGTGCCGCTGTACAGCATAACAGCCAACAGGAAGCTGCCACAAGACTAGCAAAAGAAGATGGATCTCAGCAACGCAGGCGCAACACCAACTGCAGAGCCTTATTCGTATTTACAGGGCTGATCCTGAATAGGGAAACTGTGTGGCGTTCCGAGAGTCGGCCTTATAAAAAATGCTCGGTAAAAATACACCGGGGATAAATATCCGTTTTGAGCCGGTAAGAAATACCTACGAGTCAATACTTATACAGTGTAACACTTCAAACCTACTAAAATATTGTCTTTAACCCGAATGGTATTGATGTTTTCTTGACATCTTGCTGGTGCAACAGTTTGTGAAATCTTCAGATTTGTAGTAGCGACACTGTGACATGTTTTTAAAAATGTCTGGCTGACTGTCTCTCTGTCCTTAGGCTGCGTGCAATACTAGTGTCTTGCATTCGAGACCTGTATCATATCCCTGTGAGTGTAATATTTTATAAAGAGGCTGCTTTTTTTTATGATGATTTGTATCCCCTACGTCGTTCAGGAAGTGTTGTTGTTTCTCTAAATTGCCTCCCGAGTACCGATCACAAAAAGCCGAGGCTTCTTCAAGTCTGGGCATGCCTCTTAGATTGGATGCATTGAACGGTTATGCCTAAGGATGCTTTTTCATGTACAGATTTGGAGAAGAAACCTATTTCGCCGCTCAAATCTGCCTATGCGGTTATATTGTATCATGGTTGTGCCTTGTTCTTGCGGCTGAAGTCCTTAGCAACTGCACATCATTGAACGGAAACATGATTAAAGTTACCGTAGCGGCATAATTAGTTTCGTACACAGGGCGCAGGTTGGCGGGTGTCACCTTGGTGGAGCTGTTCTTTGTTTGGAGTGTTCGGGAACTGAAACCAAGCGCGCTGTGGCTGGAAGCTCCATGATCTCCATCTCCACCACCTTATGCGAACTCACCCCAATGGTTTGCAGAGTGGCAGTTTTACTGAGAGCAATACTACCCCCCGCATTTCTTGCTCGCGACACACAATTTCTGCATCCAGTCGGTAGTACAAGTTATTCGCTCAGTATGCATGGATAATTTGTATGTTCACAAACTGTACAACAACCAGAGCCACATTGCTTACTGACTAGTCATTGATCAATTTTTGGGTTCTTCCGTGCTGGCTCTTCCAGGGTTTGTATGAAGCCATCTTAGTGGCGTACACTAGGACATCGTTGTGAGGCTGAAACGAGAAGTCCAATCCCAGAACGGACGCAGGGTCACTGCTGTATTACAGCCTGCATTTCAAGGTCACAACTCTGTAATAGATTAAATAACTTCTAAATTCGTCTAGAATAGAGTGCCAGAGCTATTCTTTGTGGTATGTCAAGATTCATGCTCTGGGTCATCATAAATCATTGCTTGTAGTAGAAAGAGCGGCGTGAAGCATTGGAAGAGCACTGGGTCTAGATTGAAGCACCTGAGGAGATGAAAAAATTCCGTCGTATCTCCTCGAAAGTCCGACAGCAGGAGTGGCGTGATCTCTGCGGTTTCATGCTGTGGTAGCACTAGCACGAGGGAAATGCCGCCAACTAGTTAAGGGGATATGTCATTCGTGATCTGAGACCGTGACATCTCACTTAGACAGGATAGGCCTGCAAATCTGTACACACTAATTTTTAGCCTCAAATTCAAGCTTTCACTTGGAATAGCCAATTTTTGCCAAGTGCCAAGAAAACATCTGCTTGCTGCTGTGCCATGTACAACGACACTCACCAACGTGGAAGATAATGGTGCGCATGTTGGATGTATGTAAAGAGCAAGTCAGTGAATCTGAGATAAAGCATACTATTCTCATCAATCATTAGTGGTTATCAATACGTTTTCTGTGCGACACATCTATAGTGCATCAAATGCGGTTAATTATACCGCACTGAAGGTAGGGACTCGGTAATCGGACCATTTGACAATTTAAAGCGGAAGAAGCCACATGCTGTCATGTTCTCATATGTCATGAGATATGTGTATATACTATGCCCTCATCAGCTTTGAATATACATCATCTTCATCAGCTTCAGCCTTCATTTCCTCTTCACTTTCCATCCACACTCACTTTCCAACCAAACAATCTTTCCTACGGAATCTTTCAAAATGCAGTTCACCACCATCGCCCTTCTTTTCTCCGCTGCTTTCACTGTCTCAGCCGCCCCAGGCCCTGACACTCTCGCTAAGCGTAGCTGCTGGACCTTGACTGGCAATGAGCTTAAAATCTGCCAAGATGCCTGCAAGGTTACCTGCGTAAGAACACCATCTAAGCATTGAACAGAAAGATCTGGCTTACTAAAGTTGCTTTAGGACGTTGCCACTGGTGGCATTGCACGAAAGCTCTGCAAGGCTGCTTGCGATGCTCCTCCGCTTAAGGCTCGTGACAACGAGGTCGTCGCTGATGCCATCGATGCGCGAGGCATTGGAAAGAAGATCTGTGATATTAGTGTAAGTCCCGCTCGCCTAGTCTGGAGTTGTTAATTCTACTAACACAACTACCTAGTGTGATGTTACCTGCAACTCCACTGTCCTCGCTCTTGACCAGCTTGAGTGCCTGAAGATCTGCGTGAGTGACTACTGACACTGTGATTTTCATGACCTGGGAAAAGCTAACTTTCTTTACAGAAGGCGAAGTGCTAAACACATACTTCTATGCAATCTATCCAGGATGATGGAAAATAATATCATCTTAGCCGTGGCTAAACGACCTACAAGATGAGACTCATTTTGAGCACGCTGTACATATGAATTACTTTCCTTTTTAGACTTAGGAGTCTCCACTGTCATTACCGAAATGTTATCTCTTTTTCTCTTTGATGAGCCAGACTTCTCTACTACGTGACAACTAAAAGATGATGTATACACAAACGCATTACATGTTTTTTTTTAAAAAAAGCACCGGCAACAGGTGATCCAAGTGTGAGAAAGTAAGGTCTCCAGAAGGTCATGATACTAAGCGAAGCACGTGCTACTACTTGATGGCGGCAAAAAGTAAATCCACGCCGACCGTGCGCGTCGTACGGGTCCGGAACCTGACTACACACAACCATCTCGATTGCATCAAGTCCTAGAACAAACTCTCTCTGACCATGTGAAATCCTACTTTTTTTCATTCTCTCAAGCTCAAAACGCGTCATGACCAACTCATCAGCCCCGGAGAAAGAGAGCTCGGGCAACGCGTCGCAGTCGCAGCTGATCAACGCTAGTCCGTTCAAGCGCTGCGTCACATTGCTCGCCATCAAGCTGCTGAGGCGCTTTCGCAAACGCAAGGGCGCCGTACTTTTTCTTTCTGAGAAAGTATGCGTCAAGTACGGGGCCTGTGCTAATCTCAGCGAGGCTTCGGCCATGAAGTTCATTGCGAAACATACTTCAATTCCAGTCCCTCGCGTATACTGCACTTTTACGCATCGAGGCGAAGCATATATTGTGATGGAGAGAATCCACGGGAAACCCGTCGGATCTGCATGGTTCAAGCGTTCAGAAGAAAGTAGAGCAAAACTTCTAGACCAGCTGAAGAAGATGGTTGAGGAAATGCGCCGCATATCGCCTCCAGACAACATCGGCGTCGCTAATGTAGATAGTGGTCCCCTATGTGACCCTCGGTTGCCGGGAACATCAGATTTTTTCGGGCCATTCAAAACGGTACAGGACTTTCATAGGCACCTGCGAGGAGGTGTTGAGGCACATCCAGATCACCAAGCCGATATCAGTGAGCTCATTTCTTCGCAAGAAAGCATCCCATCGGATCTGGTATTCACTCATGGGGATTTGAGCAGCTTGAACATTCTCGCTTCTGGGGACGAGATTGCTGGTATAATAGATTGGGAAACTGCTGGGTGGTACCCTTACTACTGGGAGTACACAAGTGCCTGGAATGTAAACCCGCAAAACGAATTCTGGCGAGGCGAGGTGGACAAATTCATACAGCCTCTGCCCAAAGAACTAGCGATGGAAAAGCTCCGATGGAAGTACTTTGGAGCCTTTTGACGAAGCGAAATATCTGAGCAGAGCCTATACTAATGCATCATGTTCGTGGTGCCCAATTATGGAATCGTCTCCTTCTTTTCAAGCAAGTCATATGTGGGGGCCATTCCTATATCATGAGTCGAAGAACCATCGAAACGATGCTCGTCCCTTTTTCGCTGGCAATACTCCATTGCCGTGTCCCTGACCGTTGTCCATTCAGTCAAACTAGTTCCAAGTGCTTTGCCATCTTTTTCCAGATTCAGCAATGCTTCCTGCACCCATCCGACGCAATTCCAGCCTACTTCGCCTTGCCGAATCGGAGTGTCTCGAAGAATAGAAATACACCGATCTCTTTTCTCTATCTTGGCTACCATGACGCGTACAAGCAGCATCGATGTCGCGCCTAACGACGTTGTCCTCTCCTCAAAGAGCCATGTAGATGCATTGGGCCCCGTAATGCTCTCTTTTGCGTGAAAGCGCGTGCCGTTGCTCTGTTTGTTTTCATCTTTGGGTCCCATCAGTATTGCCCAGTGGTATCTGTTATTGTCGTCGCCTGTCAGCAAATGCTACAAGGAAACTATTAACCAGTACTCACGTGTCTTCTTTCCCCGGCATCTTGGGTCCTCCGCCTCGAGCATACAATGCAATATAAAGACGATCTTTGTTCGATGGCATCTTGATGAAGATGAGATGGCAAATGCGCAATAGACTAGGAGAGATGCACTAGATGCGATAGTCCGTAGTTTATGAATGGAACGAGTTTATATTGTGATTCGTAAGCGCCTCTTGTTGTAAGCGCCGACTAATATAAGCGCCAATTGATTTAAGCGTTGATTGTTATGCAAGGGGTGTGGGCCACAGCTTTGTTGTTGGAGTCGTTAAAGCAGCTTTAAGTAGGCAGAAGCCACGGGTAGAAGTCACGTGCAACTTTATAAATAGTGATGCGTCTATACTTGGGAGCTGTCTGCCAGCGCATAGGCAGAAAATGAGTACTGCTTTACCCGCCTGACTTGCACCTACAACAAGGCTGTGTAGAGTGTGAAAGGCTTAAGCTACGTCTAAGGCCAAAACTGGACAGTAGCGGGCACAATTCGGGGCCGAAGAAGCAGCGGGTAGGCTCGATAAGAGTGTATACACTTGTATCTCCCTTTGAGACCCTGAATACCGCTAACAACACTCAGTGGAGTCCTCTGCTGCCAGTCCGTAATAGAAGCAGACGCCAAGACACGAATCTTGACATTTAGATGTGAAACTATCGGCTATAAGCACTGTATTCCTATTTACAATAGCAAGAAACACTTGCGTACCGCGCGTGTAATATGCATGCTGTGATTTGGCGCTTTTTCATGCACTAATGTTCAGTTATGTACAAGCTGCAAGTGATAGAAGCCACAGCCGCCCTGTAGCGTCTCAGTAAGCGCCGCCATGCAGTAGGACAGACCAACAAGGGAGCTAATGAAGCGACGTCTGATTAGTCTGGCATATGCGTTAAAGCTAGAATAAGGTACGTATTGAATATGATCTCATATCAATTCATGTATAATGTCAAGTACGTGAGGAATGTGAAATCGAGGTAAGCAAAATAGAAATCAAGTAAAACATGTTATCTAATAAGAGAGCACAGTCAAGTGCATCATGGATATTAAATGGCTACTTTTAGACAACGACATTATGAGGCTCCGAGGAATGATGAAGGGGAAGTGCTATCTCCCGAGTCTGTCCTGGGAAGCCGTGTGTGGAGAAATCAAACGTTTTACAGAGCGCCGAGCTAAAGAACCACATGGTATCGTGAACCAGTTACATAACACACCTCCCTTCATATTACGCCAGGAAATGCGAGAAAAAAGATGCTCCCAGGCATCTTGGAAAAGGGGGAGAATACAATGCATGCATCCACGTATGGCTAACCGACAATATCAATGTCGCCGTCGGCATCTTCCTCGCCTTCAGCGTCGATGTCGTCTTCGTCCTTGAGTACAGGCGGTAACTGCGGTCTCACAGCCTCAAATTCTCTCGAAGCCTTGCCCGCCTCGTCCATGAGGCCGTTACGTCGATATGTGTTCATGCACAAGCCGGCTGCGACTGCCATCCACAAAGGCTTCCGACCCTTGATCGCTTGGGATCTTGCTGCACGGATGGCCTGGATGCTTTTCTCGCCAACCGTGTCAGCAAAGAAGCGTGCAACAAAGTAGCACATTGTCATGGCTACAAACTCGAAGTTTTGCGTCTTCTGAGAAATTTCTTGCGCAATCCCGACAGCTTGCTGGACAGTTTTTTTCTGGTGCGAGATGGCGGCTGCTTCGCCATGGAAGGCATGGACAAGGCGGAAGGCCATGCGTATGTATTGGTTTGGATGGTCTTCGCAGAGAGGTTTCAATTGCTCGAGTAGCATGCTGGACTGGAAATGTTGCGGGTGATTGGGATCGCGAATGATGAGCAGGCGATTCAGTGCTGCCATGATTGCGATGTCGGCTCGAGTCGGAGTTGTGTGTCCTTTCTCTGGTACTGCAAGAACGTCTTTGGAGGAGGTTTCCAGTGCAGAATCAAGGTTTCCATTCACCTGATCGTTGATGGACGAAAGGTACGCAAGGGTGCGTTCAAAGACTCCTTGGCCGTTGTATGGAGCTAAAGCGATTCGTTTCTTCAGTCCTGCAAGAACATCTTGAACGGTTGTATGATCATCACGGGAGCAGGCCATTAGTCCAATAGCGAACATCGAATGCCAGTCCAACACCATGTTCCACTCGATTCGCGCGAATGCGACAGAAGGCGGCATGCCTGCAAGCTCGCGACGCTTTGAGGATTCTCTGAACCGCTGACGAGCCTCCTTCATATAGATCAAGCCCTTCTCGTGCACATGGTGCTCTAGGGCACAGATATGGAAGCATAACGCTTTGAGATCTTCCCGTGGGAGCCAAGCGAAAACGAGCTCGTCTTTTCTCTCGGCGTTCTTCCAGAACACACCACCAGTGTCGAATGTTAGGTTACCACCATAGCTCCGCTCGATCAGGACGGTGAAGATCCCGGTCTCAGAACTACCTTTCTCATCTTTCCTGCCCAGTATAGCTTCAAGCAGGGCAGTTGCCTTTTGTGTATCCGGTTGGCCAGTCTGAATACCACTTGCAATATCAATGACATCGATGAGCGTACCGAAGGAGCCTAATTCCTTGGCCGACACTTGAAGTTGCAGACTTCGGGCGGCTGCAATAGCACGCTGAACTTGCTCGAGTCGATCTGCTGCGCCAGACCGCAGGTGAACCATTGCTTCAAGCGCGCAACATGCCACATAGACGGCTCGATCCCCACGTCGCTCTGCATGACCCTGTATCGCGTGTAATTGCTGTAGGATCATGACTATCTCCAAACGACCTGGTATTTGCAAAGCTAGTGTGACCTTGAGGAAGCGGAGTGCATAGATCCACGCAACATGCTGGAATGTCTCTGCTTCGGAGATTGGCTTGTCCAAGGACTTCAAACCGGCGCGATGATTTGTCTTGAACTGATACCGCGCTTGAAGATGAAGGGCAGCAAACTTCAAGTCTTGCAACCTGTGCCTTCCACACAGCGAAATTTGCTTGGAAAGAATCTCCTCGATGCGACTTGAAATGTCCGTAGCCTCAATGTCCGTCTCTTCTATCATTAGGCTGGCGTATCTTAGGCGCAACTTCGCCTCATCCCTGGGCGGCATGTTGAAATCTCTTAGCACGGTATCCATGCAGGCCATGGCGGTCGATATTAGCTTGTAGTATTGTCTAACGTCGGCCTCCTTCCTCTCCTGTACGAAAAGTGATCCCATGTCACGTGCAGCTGCAATGTATTCATCCGCCGCCATGAGCAGCAAGTCGGAGAGTTCGGCAGGAAGGACCTTCTGAGGCGCAGGCGCCCGCTTTGTTGGGGTAAGCTGGTGCGATGAAGAGGCTCGAGGAATGATAACCTGGGGGTGCATTTTCGGCTTAGAGGACGGCGGCTGCGGGGTGGGACTGGCATATTGGCTGGACGGTGTCTGCTTCGGAGGCAGCACACGCTGTTGTTGAGGTGTGGACTGTGGCTGAAGAGGTGCTCGCTGAAGGGTTTGGTTCGGTGTTGGCGTGCTCACGGGCCGCTGCTGGGGTCTGGGTGCGTTCTCTTGTTGCGACGATGACCGTTGGGCCGGTTTCGAAACAGGCGGAGTCGGCGCTTGCTGTGCGCTATACCGGCGTTGCTGCTCTGCTGCTCCGTCTGTATGAGCGACTCCTGTGCTGCTTGTTCTCTGTACTGGCACCTGCACATGTCGTATCCGTGGAGGCTGCATCTGCATGGGTGAAGAATAGTCTGGTGTCCTCGCAGGGATTACGACTTGGGGTTGTGGTCGATATACCGGCTGCTGGTGGGCTTGCTGCAGAGGCCGTTGTTGCGGGTGCTGGGGAGGGCGCTGCGGCGTATGCGGTGGCTGTTGGTGCATGTGCTGTTGGGGTTGCATTTGCGGAGGCATCTGCTGATACTGTTGGTATTGCGGATTCGAGGGCCGGGGCATGGCAGGCTGCTGTGGGATCTGATATGGCGCTGGCTGCGACTGCGAATACCCCTGAGGCATCTGCATCTGCATCGGCATCGGGGGGTATTGCGGATAGCCATGTTGCTGGTAGCCATTTGGCTGGGGCTGGGGCTGCTGCTGCTGCTGCTGCTGCGGAGGCGCATATGGGTTGTATTGGCCGTTCGCATAGGCCTGCGGCGGCCAGTTGTACCGTGGATCCATGCTCGGGGTTCCTGGAGCAGAGCGATCACCAGAAGTCGATACTAAGGCGTTGCATGGCGGGCGAGGGCGGGGTGTGAATGTGCAGACGTGCCATGGGCTGTCGCGAAGTCGGTAGGTCGCGAACGCGCCAGGTCACTTGCACGCGATTCGCGGGTAGACGCGCGCTTGCGATGCCGCACTTATGCGGCATAGTGGATACACAGGCCGAGGCCCAATTGCCTGCATTCGGCGCTTCCACGAGCCTTTACGTTAGGTCTGGAGTTGATTTTAATAGTCGGCCCCTCCTCGTCCAACGTCGCTGTTAGAGTTGGTGTGTCACATGGTTCGGTAAGCGCTGCGGACATCCGGGCCACACCGTCTCTACAGCCATTGCGCCACTAGAAGAAGTGAGGATACAGCAAGAAACCATCTGGTCCCCACTGCGTTCAACTCCCGAGGTATCCGAGAAAGGGCATGTGAAAAAGGCTTGAATTCCAAGAAGAAGAAAAAACTCTCTCACATTTCTAACCTCCAACATCCCCAGCCAAAGCCACCATGTTCAACCTCTCCTGGATCTTGGGCCATAGCAAGACGACTTACACATCCCACAAGTCCCCCGCAACTCTGAAGACAAAAGCCGGATCGAAGACCACACTGAACGAGCTCGCTGCCTCTTCCATTCCACCATGCCGCCTGAATCCCTTTCTCTTCAATGGCCATCTGCAAACCATGTACACAGCTGTCAAAGACCCCGGCCCACCCGTCTACTACAAACGACAAATTTTCGACTCGGACCATTCCATCTACCCCGGCACATTTGCCGTTGACTTTGCAGTAAACACTGCTGAAGACAAGGCAGACCAGCCAGACGAAAAGGACGAATCACTCCCAGAGCGCACTACCAATTTCACCCAAGAAGAATGGGAAAACATAGGCAGCCTGGACGAAAAGCCCATGCTAATAGCCCTCCACGGCCTATCCGGCGGCTCCCACGAAGTCTACCTCCGTGAAACCCTCGCTCCTCTGATAGCATCCGGCTGGGCCGCCTGCGTGGTAAACGGCCGCGGCTGCGCCCTCTCGAAAATCAGCACGCCCCGGCTTTTCAATGCCCGTGCAACCTGGGATCTCCGACAGACGGTGTTGGCACTCGGCAGTCTGTTCCCCAACCGCCCTTTGTACGGCGTAGGATTCAGTCTCGGCGCCAACATCCTGACCAACTACTGCGGCGAAGAAGGCGAGAAATGTCTTCTCCGCGCCGCGGTATCCTGTAGCAACCCCTGGAACCTCGAGGTATGCAACACGGAGCTGCAGCGCACATATCTGGGTCTCCACATCTACTCGCGCACCATGGGCAACAATCTCATGGGCCTATTCAAGCAGCACCGCGCGCAGATTGAGCAGGTTCCCGGTCTCGATGTCGATGCTCTGCTCGCAAGCAAGTATCTCCACGAGTTCGACCGCCACGTGCAGTGTCCGACGTGGGGGTATCCGACAGAGGGCGCGTATTACCGTGATTCGCAGAGTGTGGATGCGCTGCTGGCAATTCGCATCCCGTTTCTGGGTATCAATGCCGAAGACGACCCCATTTCGAGCAAGGCTGGCTTGCCGTACCAGGAAATCATGCAGAACCCGCATACGCTGCTGTGCACGACCGACTGGGGCGGTCACTTGGGCAGTTTCATGCTGGGTAGCGGCAGATGGTTTGCTATTGCTACGTCTGAATTCTTCAAGAAGTTCCATAGCGAGGTGGATGCTCATGCCTCCAGCGAGGTAAATGGGGGAGACGAGGGAGTGAATATGGGCGGCTTGCAGGGGAAGAAGTACCCAATTTATGATCCGAATCAACGGAGGTTGATATTGCCGGAGGCGTAGAGGCGAGCATAGAAGTGATGGTATTGATTCGCATTTGATGATATTTGGGGTATCTTAGACTTTCTCTCTAGATTTTATAGACCGTAGGTGGATTTGGCCTTTGATTGATCGGCTCTTTCTCCTATGACGCCTTTGTCCATATGCTTTTGTCATGGTACTTCCGTAAATCGCTGTCTCAAGGTAACACTGTAGCACTCTCTTCTTTTCCCTCTCTCACCTAAATATGCACTCTCCGGATCAAATACCCAGGTACGCTATATCTGTCCCACATCTTTCCACATCCTCAGCCGAAGCTGACCCTCTTCTTAGGCTTGAACTTCCTATCCTTTTCCTTGATCTTGTCACCCTCGTCGCTCTTCGCACTCGGCTCGCTATGTCGCTTCCTCTTCTTGTTCTTCTTGAGATCCTGTTTTCGCTCCTCGAACTTGGCCTCCTTGTCTTCTTTCCTTGCCTCGGCTTCTTTCCTCTTTGCTTCGCGGATCTCCTCTAGTTGGCGGGCTTTGGCAATCTTGGACTCGAGGTGTCCCTCTTTCTCGGCGTTGACAACGGACATGATGGCCATCTGCGCAAGCAAACTGGTTAGTAAGAGCTGATTAAGGAAAGAATGTGGATTTCATACCATGCTAACCGGGTCATCCACAAACTTCTTGCCCTTCTTGACACCCTTTGGCTTCGCAATGCCAGCAGGCACGATGCCGTTCAGCGCCGGGATATCCAGCTCCTTCTCCGAATACACCCTCTTTTTCTTTTTGCCATCTTTGGATACTATGGATTTTGTCTTTTGCGCACCGCCCGGTTTGGCCAATGACAGTGATTTTTGTTTGCGCTTCGATATGCCTTCGGGCGCGCTGCCGGTGGGTTTGGATTTGGATTTGGATTTTGAGGATTTTCCGGAGCTGCCGCCGGATTTGCCCTTGGAGCCTTTGCCCTTGGAGGCTGGTTTGGTTGCGCCCATGTCTGCGAGTGCGAAGGGCGTGCACACAAAAGGGTATGCAGGGTGAGAAGCGCAGAAAGTAGAAAGTAGCGCTGGGGAACTTTTTTTGCGGGTAGGATCCGAGGCTGCATCGGCGTTTTGGGTGTTGAGCTGCCGACGGCGAACGTCAAGGCAAGCGCCAAGGGAACGGGCGCGCGAGCTTGCGAACCCCAGCAGGCGCATCCGCATCCGCATCCAACATCCACATCCGCAGCAGCGACTGCTTCCCCAGCTCCACGACGACTGTTTACCACGACTGCGCACAACGCCTGCATCTACGCCTATCCGCCCGCCGCATACGCACAACCCAAATCATCATGGATAACTCAAATCGCCTGTTCCGCTTCCCCAAGCCCGCATGGCTCAACAGCGCAAACACGAGGACGGCCGGCGTCTACATCGCTGGAGCTCTGGTACGCACGCCCGCATGCCGCTCCAGCATGGTCATGTTTGCTGACAGGATGCTGTAGTTTTCGCTCGGTTTCTACACCCTCATCGATATCTCGGTATGGTCCAAGTCGGCCATGAACGGCTCCGACCCGCGCGTCCACATCACCTTTGTTGATTGGGTCCCCGGCATCTGCAGCGCTCTCGGAATGCTGGTGATCAACAGCATCGACAAGTCGCGACTCTCTGCCGACAGCTTCTCGTACTCTGGAAACGGCGTTGCGTGGAAGGCCAGGCTGGTGCTGTTCCTGGGCTTTGCGCTGCTGGCCGGCGGATTGGCGGGAAGTGTCGTGGTCATGGTGATGAAGTTTGTTGTGCCAGAGCACACATGGCCGACGCTCTGGATGGGCGTTGGCAATGTGGCTGCTAATGCGCTGATCATGCTAAGGTGAGCACAGGGTGCTGCAAGTATGCGCAGTCACACTCGCTAACACGATACAGTTCCGCCGTGCTTTGGGTTGCACAGAACATGGAGGACGAGTACACATACAACCTGGCGTTGTGACGAGGCTATGTCGAGTTGGGTCTCTGTCCGCCGTCGCTTGTCCGACGTCATCCGGGCGGTGCGCCCTTTGTTTGCCCAAGTTGTCTTGCTTTGAAGGACCTGGTTTAGGACGATGATAATTATTATGTACAAGTACGCTAGGGAATTCCGGGGGTTTGTTAGTGTTATAGGTTTTGTTACATGTCATATCCAGTTGTTGGGCGGGTTCGCATTTCGCACGCTTCACGCAGGCTACTTGGCTCAATCAATGCATTATGTCCAACATACTCATACAAGAACGCTCATAAAAACTATGCAGACAACAGAAACATGCAGCAGTATCAGTCCATCCATCCATCCAGCCCTGCGCTCTTTACTGCCAAGGTCCCCAGTTTCTCTTCGACGAGCCAAGCGACGTGCTTGGGCTTAGTATGCGGTCTTTCGTTATTCGGTTCCACCGGCTAGTCAGAAGTCCTCTTGCTCCTGGAAGAACAACGTGAAGCTGATGATGGTCGCGTATATCAGCAGGCCACCGAAGATGGACATGGCTGCTGCGCCTCCTGCAATCTCGGCTGCATGCCAGAGGAGAGTCGGGAGTGCTAGACATGAGTTAGCATCGCGTTTGGTCTAGTCTCCAATGTGCCCTTCGCGATGGGTTATGTGGATGCTGGCAGGCAGCCGCATGGAGCGCATACTCCCGGTGCATCTTTCCAGTGAGAGCGCACTTACCAATACCCATAACCACAAAGAAGCCCGTCAAGAACCTTCCAAAGTCCACCACACCATTTCCCGAACTCTCCATGAAATCATCATGATTCGCCGCTCTGCCGCAGAGCCAGTTGGGTAGTGGCGCAACTACGTAGGTTGCGACGACGAGAAGCGTGAGGTAGTTGTGGAAGAGCGCGGCGGAGAGAATGACGAGAAGAAAGCCTATCGCGAGGACCTAACACATGTCTGGTTAACGTATATGCCATGCGATCAAGACACCCGCGAGGATGCGACGGCTGGACATACAAAGGACAGTCCGATGATGGTCTTGATTCCGGCCATGCTGGATTCGCGCCTGTTGCTGCAGCTATAACGTGGTAGCTATGAAAAGGTATGCGCCCGATTTCACTGGGATTGCTCCTCGTTCCGGCGAAGATGCAAGAATGCGATGTTGGTGGTGCTTGTGGGCGAGCTCGATGCTTGTTGGGGAGGTTGCGCGCGAGCTGCCAAGGCCGGGGCTCAGCCGTTGGCGCCGCTAGTGAGCCATGGATGGGTGCCTCTAGCAGCAGCAACACCAGCTAGGTACATCACTCTGAGGCAAACAAACCCCACGCCATTCCGCTCGGATTCACGACTCCTCGTCACTTAGCACCCCCAGCTAGCCCACGATGTTCCGAAACAACTACGACAACGACTCGGTCACCTTTTCCCCTCAAGGTCGCATCTTCCAGGTCGAATACGCACAAGAGGCAGTCAAGCAGGGTTCCGTCGTCGTGGGCATCGTCAGCAAGACACACGCAGTGCTTGCTGCGATCAAGGTAAATGCTTCCAATGCCTTTCCATGCTGGCTGGAACCTCCTGACACATTACATAGCGAAATGCCGAGGAGCTCTCATCATACCAGAAGAAGATCATCCCCGTAGATTCCCATTTCGGTGTCGCCCTTGCTGGTCTCGCCTCCGATGCCCGCGTTCTCTCCAACTTCATGAAGCAGCAGTCTCTCGCATCCCGCCTGACGTACGACCGCGCCATTCCCCTGGCCGAGATCACCTCGCGTATCGCCGACCGAGCACAAACCAACACCCAGCAGTATGGACGGAGGCCTTACGGTGTCGGATTGTTGATTGCAGGCGTAGACGCAAAGGGGCCTCACTTGTTCGAATTCCAGCCCAGCGGTGTTACACAGGAGATGATTGCATGTGGTATTGGTGCCAGGAGTCAGATGGCGAGGACATACCTTGAGAGACACCTGGACGAGTTCGAGGGTGCCAGCAGGGAGGAGTTGATCAAGCATGCTCTGAGGTCATTGAAAGAGTCGCTGTCACAGGACAAGGAGCTGACGGTCGACAACACCAGCGTCGGTATCGGCGGCATTGGCGAGAGCTTCGCGCTGTACGAGGGACAGGATCTTGCTGAATGGCTAGACGCAACATTTGAGAACCGGGAAGGGGGTGACGATGCAGAGGGTGCTGAGGCCATGGAGCTGTAGAAGGCTTGGCCGTCTACAGCTTTGGCATAAACATCCAGGTCTCATGCGTAGAATCAGCACTGCTGCTCAGTGAGGGTGTTCTACGGACCATGACACGGCTACTCTTCCAGCAGTAGAGTAGCTATGCATCAGCTATGACAGGACATTAGCTACGACAGTGTAACGAATATAATCTCCGAAGAGCATTTTATGTTGCCAACCATTCGAACTGGTGCGCTGTGCAATGGTGACATGGGAGCTTGGAAGCTGTCGGCGAGTGTTCACGTGATCTCCAAGCTCCGAGCCGCATCCGCGAAATCTCGCCGCAGCTCAACCTTCACCAATTGCATCTGCAATCCGCAAACTCCGTCCACCCCCACGAAACCACCTCCAACCATCACAATGGCATTCGCGTGGAAAGCCGCCGGTCTCAGGTACGCCCGCCCAGTTCCGCCGTCGCTGCAGCCCTGCCATTGGATCCGCCATTGACCGTTGGACAGCTACAACCGCTACATTGCCGTCGCATCGCGCGTCGTACGCCGCTCGCTCAAGGAGGACAAGCGCATCGCTGCCGAGCGAAGGGGCGAGAGTGAACTCAAGTTCGCCAAGTGGGAGGTGAGTGCATATACGGCAACGGGCGAGAAATCAGTCGGGCGGGGACTAATGCATTGGGCAGAACGGCAAGCAGGGCGAAGTCAAGGACCTCAACGCGGCGGCGCTCCAGGCACAGGCTGATGCTGCCAAGTCTTCGTAGAGAAACTCTGGAGGAAACAACATGGACTCTATAGAATGATGCCGGATGCGGTGCGATGCTTGGGGAAGATAGATGTATACTCTGTACTATCACACGCTGAGCGGGGACAATTTTTCAGCCAAAGCATAATCAATTGAGCTAGATTGCCCTCTGAATCGCTTGCATACTTCCTGTGCTCGTAGACGTTTCCTTGAAGCCTTGCGTCTGGGGTTCCCAGTCATGGTCCTCAGGCCTCGCGTTAGGTGCTGCAAGTGTAACTCGGCTGTCACAAATCTTCCCGCATCGGAAACGACTCCACCTCACAACATGGCAGATGCATCTAGCGGTGACAGCACCGCCGCTGCCCATGACCTGAATGTGGACAATAACCAACATGTTGCCGGTAAATCAAAAGCGATTTGATTGTGCTGCGGGTAATCACGTTACTGACCCCATGCTCAGTTCCATTGGATGCGCAAGAGTCTGCGACGACCTTCCAGTCTACAATTTCCACTAATTTACCCTTGAGGCAATCAAGACACCCAGTCGGCGCAGTACAGCCGAAGATTCACGATGTGACCGAGAAGTTTACCAGAGCGTGCAGCGGTAAGTTCTACGCTTGCAAGAGATGGAGGGGCATGGCGGGGCTGTGCCGTCCAGTCGCCCGCCATCCGCCATGATCAAAGTAACAGTACATGTCTAGGACTGAACAGCGGCTGACCGACTCAAAGCTCTCGAAGTAGGCCAATTGATCAAAGATGATTACTTTACGCTCTTCGAGTCTATTGGGGCCATCGAGGTAACCCTCCTCTTACCACCCAGGCCACGATCCTGTACTAACCGAATCCACAGATCATGGACCCCAAGATGGACAGTGGATTTCTCCAACCTGGGGAGACGTTGGAAGATGACTATGATACTCTAGTTCCACTTCTTCCAGAGGAAATAATCGGCATCATGGATCAGCTGCTATGTTACGAAATGGCCTGGCACACAGGGTACCCTTTGTCACAAACACTCTTCACATCCGTCTATATTGACAAGCTGCTATGGCCAGAGACTAAAATACTTGAGGATGCCCAGTTCTATCGCGGCGAGATTCTCCACGAGAGACGGCCTGGTCCGTTATTGGAGGTACTGAGAGCGTACTGCTTAGCCCTGATCAAGGGATGTGACTTTGTGATAGCAAAGATTACCGGGAGAGACTATTTTGAAGAAGAGGACTTTTGCACACACACATATAACCGGGTCTTATTCGTCAGCACACCCATGGATGTTTTCTTACGGGAGTTGGATGCTGGTGTAGAGATTCTAGACGAGTAAGTTTCCTCTCCAGGCAGACAACTTGCCGTGCGCTAATGACGATAGTCCTGACCTTGAGCTCAATGATGCTTTGCGAAAGGCGATTTCATCAAGACTGGAACTTCGAAAAGACTTCCTTAGGGCTCTTGACTTGGATCTTCCTCTTGACCAGATATCGTTTTCCTGGCCACCGATACTCGACAGCATTCACACACTTAAAAGTACTCACCAACTTGGCAAGACAGTGCCGGGTGCTTTCAGCCCCAAGATGCAACGGCGTCTCGCCTCTACAGTGCCCCCACGACCCATTGTCGAACTAGACTTCAAAGACGCTTTAGAAAAGTTACAGCAAATGGCCGTTGACTGTAACGAAGCCACACGTTTCATTAACCTTGAAGCTGACCCTCTCGAATACCAATCGTTCCTTTGGCACTTTACATCTCGTTCGCCGCCACTCCTCACATACGCGCGATCGTACCTTTCTACCCTCCTTTTCCACCCGGACATCCTCGACACCTCAATCTCCCTGCCGCTCGCCGATGTAAAAGCCCTCGTTCTCTCTGCTTCTCCCGTCCTAGACCCTAGCAATTGGACGCTGTCACCACCGCGAAACCCACTTCTCCACAAGCCCCCAAGACTCCAATTCGCCATTCTCATCGATGAATTCGTAGATCGTGCCGGTCAAACCTATCTAGATCTCTGGGTTGCCATGGGCCAGAACCGCTGTCGTCTCCGACGAATGCTGACCCACGTCATCGCTGGCTGGGACGCACTGCAAGCCGAGACCAGCCTCATTGACGCCGACATTTCTGCTGCAGCAGCCGAACTGGGTATGCAAGACAGCGTCATGGAATTCTGTCTATCCACCTGGGTCTACCACAAGAAGCTGTGGATGATTGAAAAAGTGATATCGCTCGGCTTTGAACAGGACATTTACCTCCCCGACGAATTCGCAGGAATGTACCTTTTCCTGTCTCTCGTCGCAACACGCCGAAAAGAGCTCCTGGGCAGAGTAGAATCGCACTACCGCGCCTACAGCTTGCGCTTGCTTGCACAGAGAAGAGTAAGAGAGAAACAAGAAGTCGACGACGCACACCAATACACCGCCAGCTTGATCGCCGAAGCAGAAGCCACTGCATCCTTGGGCCTGGCCCTCGCACGCTTCTACATGATCCTCCTGTATCTGCGTCTCGTGCCGATCCCCAGCCGCCCTTTTTCCACGGAGAAACTGCGCTACGAAGTCCGCATGAAACCATTCCTCGCGCTGCAGCCGCCCGAGGCCCCGCCGTTCGACGACTTCAAAACGCATACCCAGCCGTACGGCGAGCTCGCTTCGCCCGACGCCGCGTTTGCAGCTGATGCCGCGAATCCAACCTCGGAGCTGTGGAGTGAAATCGACAGACACATCAAGGCGGCCAAGTTGGCGTTTGCAGAATACAAGAAGATCGGTGTGCGCCCGGCAAAGGCCGAGGGAGTCGAGGCAAGCTGGAACAAGGATGTGCAGAATGCTCTGGCGAGTTGTGTTGCATTGGGATTGGCGGTTACGAGTGTCAAGGACCAGGTTGTTCAGCACGGTGTTGGTGCAGGCAAGGAAGCATTGGGGATTAAGGTTGAGATTCCAGAAGCTGGATTGAATCAGAGGTATGCGGACGGATGGGTCGTACCGGGGGTTGTGAAGGAGGAGTAACTAAGTATGTTACCCGGACTGTGTGTGCTTTACAGGGCCGTATCTCTTGTATATAGATACGGGTTACAAAGCGATATATGTGCGCGAATGGATAATAGACAGGTTAGATTTCTGATACACACTACGCTATGCTTGTCTATGCACACCAAGAAAAAAAAATCACGAACTTGCGTATCGTAATGCTGTACGCCCATAACGCCTCTATTTCTGCATTGCCCCTGAGAAACCGACAAACCTCAGCCCTTGTACTTCCTCAACACATCCTCACTAACCCTTTTTACACTGCGCGCCGATACTCCCCTCTCACCCCGTTGCTTGCTTTTGATACTCGCTTCGTTGATCAACCTGTGAACACCAGTCAGTCAGTCAGTTCCACAAACAAACACCTCACTCCTCTCTTCTTCTATTTTCCCCTCTTCCACATATATCCACAAGACACCACCGCATGAGTCCACCGAGAACGTAGAAAATAGAGAGAAATCGAAGATAAGCGAGCAACGTACTCTTGCATGAACAGCGCGTAGTTCAAGTATATCTGTCAGTCGCATATGTTAGCGCAATGCTCTCTCTATTTCAGCACCACTCTTAATATGGCAAAAAAGCCAGTATTGTAACGTACCAGGATATCAACGTTCTTGCTAACCTGCCGATTTGAATGCGCCTTGACTATCTTTTTGACTGTGCCGCGGGGATAGAGCGTTGGCGCCATGGTGATGCGCCGCGGGCACGAACGCGGGGCACGGCGAGGCTTGTCTTATTTTGCGTGCGTCGCGTATTTCGGGCTGGGGAAAGGAAGAGGGAGGCTGGTATATCGGCGTTATATGGGTCTCTTTCAGCGGTTGTGGTGTGTTATGCGGTGCGCGTGTACAAGGGTAGTTTGTTTGGGTGTTGACGTCGGGACCTGGATTGTATGCCAAGCCTAACGCGATGGCACGTGAGCATTACGTCCTGGTCCGACCCGAGAAGAGTACCTGGATGCTGCACTGGCCACCGCTATGTAGTCCCACCCAATAAGTGACCCACATGTTAACACCATGGTAGGTCCGAAACCAACTTAACTGAACAAAAGAACTCTCATATGAGATGCATCTATCAGGGACTATCACAAGGTAATGTTACACAAGCCCCAGCCAAACGAGATTCTCCCTCTAAACTTCGCTACAATATGATTGTATTTATACCTTGAGACCAAGGTCCACAGCGTATGGTAGTTGGAAAAGATCACCAACGGCTGATACTGAAGCGGTGGTCTCCAGTAGTTCCTTGGCAGCCTGTATCCAATTGTTAGCATGATGTGCAAATCCATGAGTTGAGCATCGACTGACCTTCTTGAGGGCGTCTTCTGAGACGCCGTCGATCTTCTTGGCAACCTCGTCAATCTGGTAAGGCTGAGTGTTGTGAATCAGACCATTACCAGTAAGCTCCAGACCAGCGCGAATGTCCTGGCCGTGCTCGAGCTCCTTGAACTTGGCCGCAGCCTTTGCCTTGGAGACCTCTTCGCTTGAGATCTCGCCAGAGGCAATCTTCTTGATGGCATCAACGGACGTCTGGGCGGTTTGGGCGACAGCCTTGGCAGATCCAGTGATGGTGGTGTAGAGGAGACCGGCGTCGGAGTAGATGGCGCTGGTAGTCTTGACCTTGGCACCTGGTGCGGCGGCCTGTCCGAGCTTGGTGAAGCCAGACGACCACTTGATGGCAGACTCACCGCCGAGCAGAGAGGCGAGGACGGAAATTTCGGGCTTGTAGAACTTGCCGGTGATGGAGCTGGAACCAGGGAAGGCAATGACCATGGCATTGCCGCCGTCGTGGGCGATGCGCTCCTCACCACCGTAGTACTTGCTCTGGCTGGCACCAATGTCTGTTTCCTGGGAAGCGGAGCTGGGAACATCGTCGAAGAACTCGCTAACCCACTTGGAGAACTCGCCGTGGTCAGCACCATTGGCCACAACGGCAAAGTTGGGCTTGGCAAAGGCAATCTTAGAGTAGTACTCGATGGTCTCGGCGTCGAGGTACTTGGTGTACGGGGTGGACGAGGCGGAAGCGGTCGGGGTACCAAGGCCACGGTGGAAAGCGAGGCTGTGGGCAGACTGGGTGGCCATGTCGGCGACATTGGCAAGGAAGCGCTTGTGGGCGAAGTGGATCATGGGGAGGACTTCCTCGTTGTAGACGTGGGCTGCATGGCGTTAGTGGGGGCATGGCATCCCAGGACAATGGGGAGGCATACGCAGGTACTTGGTGGAGCTGGCAACCTCGCCGAGGAGCTCGACAAAGTACGGGAGGTCATCGCGGAGGAACTTGGCCTCGAGGACCAGGTTCTCGCGCGAGTGGTGGGCGTTCAAGGCGGCGCCCAGAAGCTCGGATTCGCGGACAATGCGCAGCGTCGAGCGCCTCTCGGTGCCCTGTGGATCAATTGAGCGTCAGCCGGGCTCTCGGATGGCAGCATGTGCGTGGTGCAATGCAGTGCTCAGAGGTCAATGGCGTACCCGGAAAGCGAAGTTGGCCAGGCCCTCGGTCAGGCCGGGCAGCGGCTGGAACCTGGTGCCGGCCTTGGAGACGAGGGCGAGCGTCGTCGTGGGGCCGGCAAAGTCTCTGCTGGCATACTTGACGCCCTTGGCCTCGCCCTGCGTGTACTGGAAGGAGCCTGAAGCTGGGGCTGCGAGGCCGCGGCGCTGGGCCGGGCGGACGGCCTGCTGGCGGGCTGCACGCTGCGCGCCCCGGCAGGCGGTCGTTCGGGAGAGCATCGTGTGGAGGGCGCCGGGCGGAGGGCTGTCGATGTGGTGGGGGGCGGCAATGGATGGAAAGACGTCTTGGGGTGAGGTAACGAGATGCTCGACATCACAAAGTTCGTAGAGCGCCAAGCCCCGTAAGTGCCTTCGCTCCGCTCTCCATTGGCCCGAGCTGGGCTCAAACATCAACCACCCCACCCGCCTACATTTCTCCAAAGTTCGGCTTGCGCTTCTGCATTCCATCTCTTGCTCTGCCGTCGCCTGCCCCCGCCCGCCCCCGCCCGCCCAGCTCGACGACGCCAATGTCTCCCCGGTAGCACTCCCATTCCCTAGATATCTGGCAAATATCTAGGCCCAACCATGTCGTACAACCAGCGCGAGACTCCGGTAAGATGCGCTGCCGATGCGCCCCCGCCAAGTGAACCATGACCAACACTTCTCTAGATTCTCGCCGTCCTCTGCACCCTCCTGGTCGAGGACGTCTATGGCGAACTTGCAGCTGTACGTGCGACTCAAACCCCCCCCCCCCTGCACAGCCCGGCTCTCGTGCGGACAAATTCTGCTCGAGGCTTGCGACAGGCGCATCCGTGAGCTTGCTTCTAACAACTCGTAGCGGGTATTCTCGGTTCTTGCGCGCCATGGACGGCAAAGTCTTGCAGCCATCGCCCGCGCTTCCTACCTCAACGGACGGCAGATCAAGTACGGGCTCGTCATCCTCCTCCAGCAGCACCTCATCTTCCACTCTGGCAGCGATGCGCCCTTGACCTACTACGAAATCGACTGGCAAAACTCGTACCAAATCGTCCGCTTCGGCAAGGTAACAAAATTAGTCGAGGATCGCTTCGGGAAAAAGGCTGCCAATGTCATGTCCAACCTGCTCGCCCTGGGTCACACGCGCATCGCAGATCTCAAAGACGCATATTTCCCACCCGACACTGAGAGCGATGATGAGTCAGACGACGGCGCTACAAATGGAGCCGGTTCCAAGCGAAAGCGCACAAATGGCACTCAGGCCAATGGACACACCAAGACGAATGGTGTCTCGAACGGTATCCCTTCGGAGTTGGATGATGTTAAGCCCGACCCTGCGACGCTGGCAAACGGCAACGTAAAAACAAACGGCGTGCACAAGGCCTCCAAAGTCGACGGGGTGACGCAAAATGGCGCACCCAAGGAGCAAGAGCAGGATGACAGCGACATCACTTCGATCGACGAGCTGTATGAACTAATCCAAACACTGATTGAGAACGGGTGGGTGAGGACCGTCACAGAAACCCAGTATCTTTCGCCTGGTGATATGCACGATCTGCTCTACCAAGAGTCTATCGAACACGATAATTCAGGCATCACGCCCACTGGAACAAAAGACAAAGATGTGGTTAACAGAGGTACCTTGACGCGCAAGCGCGCAATGCGCGATGAGTGGCTGACGGTTCCAAAGTTTGCTCGAAGCGGGCATACAAATGGATCCAACAAGAGAGTGAAGATGAATGGTGCGAATGGCTGGGCAGCGCCATCTTCGGATGACGACCTCGTTATCCGCGTCAACCCCGAGAAGATCGCCGTCGCTATGCGGACAGAGCAACTTGTACACCTGGTGCGGCAACGCCTAGGATCGGTCACTGCGCGTGTGTATCAAATTATGCTGCGCATGCTGGAATCAAAGACGCCCCGCTGCTGGGAAGAATGGCCCGACCCCCCTCTGCCTAGTGGTGAACCATCTACGGAAAACGCCATCGACCCTCGCTTCCTCGTTACTGCGCGCGACGTCGCAATAAAACTTAGTCGCGACGATGACGTGGATATCTTTGAAGGGCTAGACCCCAATGCCGCCGTGCAGATCACTCGGAAGGGGCACGTGAGCCGAACGAATATCTGGACAGCACCAACCGACCCTATGAAACTGAACATGGAAGAGAAGACGAAGATCATCGACAAACACATACAGATGCTGGCAGAAGATCCGTTCCACTTTGTCACATGGCATTCGCGCGCCGGTTTCTCGCAGTGGCACATTGAATTCGACGAGATTGCAAGGCAAATGATTCAAGCCGAAGTCGAAAATACCATCTCAGCAAGGAAAGGCACATTGGGCGTGAAACTCATCCGAACTTTGAGGAAGAAGGGCAGACTCGACGAGCGCGCAATCTGCAATGTCATGATGATGACCGCCAACGACATACGTGGCATTGTCAACGACCTCACCGTCCAAGGCATTGTTCAGACTCAGGAAATTCCCAAGGTCGACAGGCGAGAAGCAAAGCACTCTCTGCATCTAGTCTGGTACGACCGGCAGCGCGCCCGTGAGAAGTTACTCCATGACACATACAAGGGAATGGTGCGCATCCTCCAACGCATAGCATACGAACGAGAAAAAGTACAATTCCTACTTACCAAGGCGGAGCGTTCCGACGTGGTCGGAAACGAAGAGAAGTGGCTGAGCAAAGGTGAGCTGGATGCGCTCAGGAAATGGAAAGAGGTGCAAGAAAAGCTACTCCTGCAGCTCTTCCGTGAAGACGATTTGGTAGCCACGTTGCGCGACTTCCACGGCCCCTTGGTCTCCGCGTAGGGCTACTACATTTGCATTATTTATCTAACGGGCCTCGGCCAAAACCCCCATGGGAACAAGCAACATCGATCTGGCGTTCTTTGGAACAATTTTTGATATGGCTACAGTATCCAGCGCATCACCAAAAAAGCTCTCGGTATGAACGATACCCCCTAGCATGTGGGCGGCGTTTTATTTCTGGCATCAATTTTCATGTAACATCTCTGGGAGCTCCAATGGGCGCATGTCACAAGAAGAGGACATGCAAAAAATGATTACCATGTAGACCATACCATGTGTAATATACTCAGACAAAATGCAGGTATTCCTCAAAGCCATTGTTTCTCATGGTCAATCTATGCGTATGGCTCCGCTGAAAGGCATTGTTATTGCTCTGGAAATTCGAGTCTTTGTTCAACACCACATAATGAGCCTTGTCACGACCGAGCAGCTTGCAGGTATCAGTCTGACTTTGATTCGTCCAAGCCAGTTATATTGCTTAATCTACAACTTCAATAAGCAGCATTTTCGTTATTGACACAATTTTGACTATTCACCCTCACAAGCATAGTTTTACCATGTCTTCCGCTACTGCTAGCAGTACCACCCGATCGTACCGCCCCCGGAGCACACGTGGTCCCCATATTGCATTCAATGGAGATGTATTTCAAGTCAGGAGATCAGCCCGGCTTGCGAAAAAAGCATTAATGCGGGCACAACAGAAGAACATGGTAGACGACAACGTAGATGGATGTATTCATTCTAATGACCGCGATCGAAGCATCGTCGTCCGCGCCCCACAGAAAGCGAACAGACCTCGCAAAATACGGCCTTCAAGCCCGAGAACATCCGCTCTTGTAGACGACATGGCCTCTGAAAGCACAAATTCATCCCGAGATTCCAGCACCGAATCTGAATCTGATACTGAAAGCGAACCAGACTCACAAGACGAGACTACGCATTTATCACCCGACAACATGCACTTTGTAGCAGCCGAAGAGGTGGATCGCCGCGAAAGCTACGATAGCCGGTGTGAAGAGGGGAATGAAGCGTATGAGCTTGATGGATTTGTTGTGAGCGACGGGGATAGCGACAGAGAAGAAGATGTAACAGGACCAGAAGAGCAAGACAACGTAGATGAAGACGATGAAGACGGTGATGATGTACACAGAAGAAACAGTATCTATTCCACCTCAACAGAATCCTCAGAAGACACACTATTCATCAGCGAAACAAAAAGAAAAAAGACAAAGTCACTCGCTCATACTCATCACTACTGGAAAACCCTAGTGCTACAGGTAAATTCTGGTGCATTTAGCCGACTACCGCTTAGCAATACAGAGCCAGAGATCATTGCAGAACAGATCACAGATGCAGTCTCGCTGTTCTCGCGGCGATGCAACAGATTTCGGGAGCCGCTGGTGCTGGAGCTTGGCAGGCAGATGATGGAGGATGAAGCCGTTTGTGAGGCGCTAGTGGCGGCGGGGAGGCTGGGGTTCGCAACGGGTGTGGAGATGGCAGATGGGTGTGCGGTGTGGTGGGTTGGGCCTAGAGGGGCCAGGGAGGTGGTGTAAGTTGCAGGAAGGGGGGGGGGAGTGTGTGAGCGACAACGTTGAGATGGGGGTACAGGGTTGCACACAAGTATGCATGGATGGCGAGTGGTTTTCTTTTGTTCACATAGTTGATTGAACCGGTTGTAAAGGGACTTGTGGTGGTGGTGGTGGATGAAACGGGTGGATGGGCGGCTAGCTACATGTAGTTGCTGTCGAGATCTGGGTTCGCGGGCGCTAGATGCAGTTTGTAAAGGTCTACGGGCGAGACAAGGAATGGGGGGTGTAGTGCAAGGATGGCGGGAACCACGCTATGATTCTTGGAAGACTGGGCATGTGGAGGTTTGGTGATGGATTGTGAATCACGTGCAGCCTGCAAACATGGTCCCGCGAACAACCCCCCACTTCAACGTCTGAGTTCGATAGTTGTAGCATGTATGGTTTTCGGGCGGAGACAAGAGAAGCCAGCTCTTGCAGGCAGTTAGCAGGCAATGAAGGCAAAGTTTGCGTAGAAATCCAGAAGCAGATGGTAGCTAGAACCATAAACTCTGTCGGACCGGTCAGACAAGTCTCTGATTACAGCTGTAGGTCAGTGTTTGCTATATCACCCCAGTCGCATACTATGGCAAAGGTTTATTGTGCGACGAACCAGAGAGCTCGCTCTCCTGGATGTTTGATGAGGCGCTGAGGTCGACAGCCTAGGCGACGTCACTTGGCTCGCTAGTATAGCGCCCGCAATATACATGGCGCAGCACAATATATTAATTTGCCGGAGGTGAACCGGGAAATGTGCTCTCGCGACCCAGTTTAGCACTATGAATTCATCTATGCAACCTGGTTGAAGGTACTCGCTTGGAACGTGTCGTCCCGACGTGTGGACAGACGGCGAGAGACGGCGACAAGCAAGGACGTGAAGAGGAGGTTGTGTTAAGAACAGCGGTTGGATAAGCCGTGGTGCGCTAGCACTAGTGGTGCGAAGGAGCCCGAGTCCGCCGTCGCCTCAACACCCGATGCACAAACATCCACCATCTTCGCCCTGCAACCACGCCAAGTGCCAGTATGGGTGATCGGCAGACGACCAAGAGCACGTACACCAACGGCCGTAGATGAACCCAAGATGGCTGCAGTCTCGAGGATTTCCCGTCGCCGTTGGCGTCCACCTCCAGCCAAGCACATGTCAAGAAGGCCCAAGACTCGCCCCAGTAGATGCACCGGCCATGTTCTCTTCAGGAATAGTCTGCTCACAAGAACAGAAAGGACTTGCCCGGCAGCCGGAGTACACAGCCTAGCATCCGCCAGAGACACATCCTTGACAACGCACCCTCATCAAATGCGGAGACGGAGGTAGTCATGGGGTGGCGCGTTCGGTGCATGTTTCGAGAAGATGCGGGGGCGCAGGTACCGCTTCCGTTTGATCAGGTGGCCGAACATCGCTCCGTGAAGGCCATTCACACTTGCTCGACTACGGCATTACGGACGTGGTCACCGGCTGAAGTAATTTGAATATTGATGAAGCCTTCATAGCCGCCAGCACCAGGGGTTCAACGCCAGCCTACAAATATGCCTTCACCACGTCCATGGCCATCTTCTCCACGCACCTCATCACATTCCTTCACTCTCTCCAAAGATGCTCTCCAACGCTCTGCTTACCGCTGCCCTGGCAGCCGGCATGGCCCACGCCCTGCCTCAAGCTACCGGCACGCCCTCGCCCACGCCCACTTCGCCCAGCGTGACGACCGCCGCGGCTTCTGGCAACCCTTTTGCCGGCAAGGACTTCTACGCCAACCCATACTACTCGTCTGAAGTCTACACCCTGGCCATGCCCTCGCTTGCAGCCTCGCTGAAGCCTGCTGCCAGCGCAGTGGCCAAGGTCGGCTCGTTCGTGTGGATGGACACCATGTCCAAGATTCCTCTGTTGGAGACGTACCTTGCCGACATCAAGACCAAGAACGCTGCAGGCGCAAAGCTCATGGCTACCTTTGTCGTATACGACCTGCCCGACCGTGACTGCGCTGCTCTGGCCTCCAACGGTGAACTCAAGATTGACGATGGTGGCGTCGAAAAGTACAAGACGCAGTACATTGACAAGATTGCCGCCATCATCAAGAAGTACCCCGATGTCAAGGTCAACCTTGCCATTGAGCCCGACTCGCTCGCCAACATGGTCACCAACATGAACGTGCAAAAGTGCTCGCGCGCTGCCCCATACTACAAGGACCTCACTGCCTACGCCCTCAAGACGCTCAACCTTGCCAACGTTGACATGTATCTTGATGGTGGCCACGCTGGTTGGCTGGGTTGGCCCGCCAACATTGGCCCGGCCGCGAAGCTCTACGCTGAGGTTTACAAGGCTGCTGGCTCTCCTCGCGCTGTCCGTGGTATTGTTACCAACGTCAGCAACTACAACGCTTTCCGTGTTTCCACCTGCCCTTCGTACACCCAAGGCAACTCCAACTGCGACGAGGAGCGCTACATCAACGCTTTCGCTCCTCTCCTCAAGGCTGAGGGCTTCCCAGCCCACTTCATCGTCGACCAGGGACGCTCCGGCAAGCAGCCTACCGGCCAGCAGGAGTGGGGTGACTGGTGCAACGCTCAGGGTGCTGGTTTCGGCACCAGGCCCACCACCAACACTGGCAACGACAACGTTGACGCTATTGTCTGGGTCAAGCCCGGTGGTGAGGTGCGTAACATTCCTTTCAAATCTCCATTGTTTTTGCAACCGCTAACACACTTCCAGTCTGACGGTACTTCCGACCCCACCGCTGCCCGCTACGACGGCTTCTGCGGCAAGTCTAGCGCCATGAAGCCTGCGCCCGAGGCCGGAACCTGGTTCCAGGCCTACTTTGAGATGCTTCTCAAGAACGCCAACCCTCCTCTGGCTTAAGCGGGTGTTGTTCAGATGGGCTTGTGCAGCCACTAGAGCCAATTCTTGTCGATATGGGGTTCTGTGGTGCTGGCAGAGTGTAAATATGCCACCGTGTAAATATGTCATTAGAATTAGAAGTCACCGACATTGCCGTTGAAACTCATGCGGATGAATTGATGAAATTCATGTCAAGTGTTGCAGTGACGTGAGATTTGTGGCCACCAAGATAGGAGCCGTCGGCATGGCGGATGTGCATGCGAGGCCAAGGCCGTGCCCCAAACCCTCAATGCGCCGCCACCTATCTTGGCAGAGCATGAGCCACAACGGTGGCCTTCCAACGGTGCGCGTCCCTGACGACGTCTGACAGCTTGCGCCCCACCGATCCCCTCCCTGAAGCCCTTTTCCAACCCTCTACCTTCTCTTCACTGTGCGAATCGCGTCTCTCTACACACCAACCATCGCCCCACGCTCATTTTCTCGCTGTGCGCCCCTTGCGCCCAACCAACGCCCCATGCATCCCCGGTTCTATCGATAAACTAGCGTAGAGGGCAATGCAACGCCCGAAGCCTTCGCCTCTGCAGTCGAGGCTGCTTGCATATTCCTTTGCTGCAGTCTCTTGTCTCGCACTATGGGATTCTTTTGCGCCACGGGCTTTTGCCCACGCCCAAGTCCTTACTCCTCCCGACACCAATCACCCCGACGCTCCCATATTGCATGCGCTCGCAGGCGATGACTTGCCACATATTGAGGATGCCGTTTACGGTCGCGGAGAGGGCTCAGGCTATGAGCCTGAGTTTGGCTACCTCGATCGCAGCTTGATCGGACGACAAGCGCAAGACATGAATACATTGGTCAACAACCAGAAGATGGAAAGGGATATCGATCCCGAGAAGACGCTTTACTTTGTGTTGGAGAAGAGCCAGCTGCGCTTGAGACGGGCAATTGAAGTTTCCCAAGATGCTCTGGAAGCACGAGGAACAGACAACACGTCTCATGAAGCCAGGCATGGAGGACTGGCTGTGGCAGACGTAGGGGACGGCACAGCTGGAGAAGGGCCGGAAGAGCTGGAAAAGCGTCAGACTGGCAGCACTCATGTGTGGATAACGGCCAACACTTGCCAACAACCCATGCCCAATGGCAACGCGACAGAAGCATCCAAAAGCCACCCCCAACTCGTCATGTATGTGTCGACTTCGCCTAACAACAAGAACCCCGGACCTGATTCCACGGACAATCTCATGACGAATCTCACGACTGGCCTATTCAATGGCGGATACGCCAGTCTTGACTTCAACACTAGTTCGGATGTCTACATTGGCATTTCGGCACCAAAGCTCAATGCGGACTGGTTCGGAAGTTGGCACTTTGAGCTCGCTGTTAGTACTGATGGTCCCTACCACAATTACAACGAGTCAGACCCGTTTCTGTATATGATTGACACGGACAGCGAGTCTGCATTGTTCATCACGTATGATCTTGGCGACTCCAACTCGACCGAAGCCGTCGATAAGTGGAAAGAGCAGAATCCTTTCAAGATGTATGCTTTTGAAGCGGGTGAATACACGCCGATTACGGGCATGGAGCGCTCGTACTGTGCGATCAGGGACCAGTTCAACGTGAACACAACCAAGAACTTTACCATTGATAGTAGGATCACGACGAAATTCGGAAAGGACATGGGAGATGACTATCCCAAGGCGCAGTTTCACGTCAGGAACTTGCAAGCGGCAACGACGTACAACGGTTTCGTCGTCATTGACGGAAGTCAAGACCCTACCTATATCGCTGGAGCTGGCATGATAAGGGGTGGCGGGAGAGTGTTTCAGGCGTTCAACTGGACCACCAAAGCTGGTATGACAGTCCATCTATTAACCTGCGTAGGTGACGCTAACTCGTGCTCAGATGATAACTGTCAAGTCATTTCCGACCTTGATTTCTGCGACTCGGTCGCCTACGCTGTACCCTCGAATCGCAGCTTCAAGTTCAACGACACTGCTCTTGCAGAAATCTATGATAACCAAGCTCGCGCCTACTACGCCAATTTCACCAAGTCACTAGCACAAGTTGCTTGCGACGCTCGGCCTGAATCGCAGTATTCGCTTGCGCGGACGTGCGAAGACTGCGCTAGAGACTACAAAAACTGGCTTTGTATGGTTTTGATACCCCGCTGCGAGGACTGGTCAGCAAGCGACTCGTTCCTTCAGCCCCGCAACATCGACTCTCCATTTCCAAATGGCTCGCTGCCTCTCCAAACCGATGCGTCACTGCAATTCAATCAGACTTATCGCAAGAACACTGGTTTCACACAATCCCGCAACCCGCTCATCGACCAGGCGATCCAGCCGGGTCCTTACAAGGAGATGAAACCTTGCGACGACTTGTGCTTCGACATTGTGCGTAGTTGCCCGCCGCAGCTAGCCTTTGGATGTCCGACTGGAGAGCAGAGGAACGTCATGTATGGGCAGCGAGACGAGGATCCTAATCGATTGACGTGTAACTTTCCAGGTGCGGTGGTGAAACTCAATGCAAAGGCCGGTGCGGGAATACTAGACGTGAGACTGGGCAGCATGCTGGTGGTAGTTGGCTTGGTTGCTGCGGTGCTTTGGTACTGACATGTGACGCATTGTCGAAAAGTCGTAGTCTGATGGAGCCAGATGGGGTGGCCATGGTTGAGATGGGTTGGTGTTGTCACTAATATGCAACATGGCGTTGTATGGCATTAGAGTGAGTGCAAAAACGTTGATAGAATAATTATTCTTGCTAAGACTTTTTCATGGCTAATCATGTTTGATTGCATGTCGTCTTCAAACAGTGGCTAGTTGGTATACCAACCTACTGTCATATCATTCAGTGGACGGTCCCGACATATTCGACATGCACCTCCAACCCATGTTTTAAACACCATCCATCTCACCTTGATCTTCCTCCGCCCAAAGCAACGGCGCAAACGTATTCCTCGCCATATTAAACGTGAAGCTGCATCCAGCAACCCCAACATTCTCCTCATCAACCGGCCACCACCGACTCCGCATCTCGCGCTCCGCCAACCCAAACATAACATCGACATGAAACCCCCCATACAAAAACGGCTGGACTGCAAAAAGCCGCTCCTCCCACTCCGCAAACAACACCGCAATCCCCGTCTCAGCCGCCTCCCCCTCCCCCCACACATCATCGTAGCGCCGCTGCCGTCGCCGCGCGCGATCGCGTTTAAACGGGACGCCGCCTTGCTCCGCCCAGAGCAATACATCAACCATGCAGCCCAGGCTGTCCAGCCACGCGGTAAACCGGCCGTCGAGATCGCTCGAGCAGTAATTGCACGCGATGATGCTGCAGCGCGAGCAGTAGTTTATCCATTTCGGCGCCACATAGCGGCACGCGCGGCATAGGGCTGCGTCGTACGCGGTGAAGAACAGGTCGCGGCTGAGCCAGGTATGTCTGCACTCGAGCTGGATGTAGCTGGGTGTTTTGACGTCGAAGATGCGGTTCGAGCGGTTGGGGTTCGGGGCTAGTAGTGGGATGTGGCGGTGCGTGTGTACGGGGGTGTGAATGTAGGGTTCGGGTTGCGGAGGAGGAGGAGGAGGTGGTTGCGGTATGGGTTGGATTTCGCGCCACGGTCCAGCGTCGTGGTGGTTGTACATGTAGTAGTCGTTCGTGTCTTCGATGTGGTGGATCTCGGGGCCCCAGTGCTGTTGTTCTGCTGGAAAAGCAGTGGTGGTAGTAGTAGTAGTAGTGATGGCGGTGGTAGTAGCAGCAGCAGTAGCAGCGCCGTCATCTGGATCCGTGGTGTGAGGCAGCTCTTCCAAAAACACATCTAGATCTTCCTGCGCCTCACCCATCCAAGTAATTTGCTGTTGTTGTCGTACTTCGAAACCCACGTCCCAGTCTCCAGCCCCGTCCGCTGCTGCTTCGTCGACTGCTACTTCGTATTCCCACTGATACTGCTCCCACTCATCCACAAGCCCATCCTCCACCTCCTCCTCTTCCTGCTCACTACGAAGCAGATAGCTCACACGCTCGTGGCCCAGCCGATTCCTTCCCGCACGACTAAACCCCGTGTCACGATGCAATCCCCGTTCAGTCCTCTCGTACCCCTCGTCATCATATCCTTCGCTGGGATCGCCATAGGAAGGACATCCTTCGCTCTCATGGAAGCCCTCGGTAAATTCCCACGGCAGCAAGCAGATGAAGCAGAATTGCTGCGAGCAGTAACAACACGTCATGTGGTTGCACGCGTCTTTATGCTCGATCCACAAGCCGCATCCAGGACACTGCTTGATACGGCAGGTAGGTGAGTACGGCGGCAGCCATGCGGGTTTCGAAGCTGAATCCACGCAGCAATGTGAAGCGCCTTTCCACACTTGCTTGCAGCCGACGCAGGTTTTTGCGCCGCACTCGCAACGTGCTACCGTGGCAAAGGCGCTGGTGTTGTCGAAGCGCGAAGGGTGGATGAATACGCCGCACATTTCGCGGCTGCAGTACACGCGCAGCGTGCGGGGAGTGTAGTATTCCTGTGCTCGGAGAGAGTATGCGGTGCGCAGCGCAGCGCTCAGCAGGTGCTCGACGAGGCGCCGGGCCAGCGGCGTGCAGCACCGCGCTGGGAAGGCTTGTATGTCGCCGAGGGCCATCTCATACGAGTTGACTGTGCACTCGTTGCAGAGGAAGTGTGAGGCACAGGCGGCGACGCCCGCCGTAAACTGGGTTTCATCGCCGCAGATGCAGCATTCGTACGTGATGCTGTTTTCGAGGTCAGGGGGGTTGGAAAGGGTTTCTTTGGGGGCGTCTGCTTCGTCTTTGACTGTGTGCTGGGAGACGTTGTAGCGCAGTTTAGTGCTGGGTTTTCGAGACTTGCGGACCGCTTTTCGGCTTCGTGGCGGAGGGTACAGTGAAGAGATTTCTACGAGGGCTGTTGCTTCAGTGCGTTCAGTCATGACTGTCGTTGCAGCTGATATGTAATCGTTGGACTGGTAAAGGGAATTCGAATAAGAAAAGTCGTGGCAAGGTATTTTCAAAGCTGAGTAGAATGGGGGAGGGAGCTGGGTATTTCAAGTATTCCTAATAAACAGGGAGAAACGGTGAAGACTAAAATCTATCCATGGTTCATTCACCATATTCCAGGCCACACACGTGATCTAGCTAATTCCTCCCTATTGTAAAGACAATCCTAGTCCGGGAAACCAGACCCTTTTACACTAAGATTCTAGGCAACCACGGTTGTCAAATCCCAGGGTAGTTAAGAAAGCCAATGGAGACTGATGACTTCAAGTCGTCAGTACCAGACTGTCGAAAATCCACCTATCACTTAACCTGCATCTTGCGAAACTCAATGCACCAATCAAGAAACAGATGTTGCAATCAAGTGTGTGAACACGTCAGATAGAAGTGTCTCTTTTCTACTCACTTGGTGGAATAAACAGATTTTCAGTGGTTAAATTACTGACCAGTGATTTGAGTCAGAGAATTACTACATACAAAGCTTGCATGTGGCGAATAAGATGGATTGATTTGATTCATTTACCTTGACAATTACTTGATACGATGGCGACATGCAACGCCCATGTGCTCCCTCCTATGGGGTATCTTGTCACAAAAAATTACGCCGCTGCTGCGTTTAAAATACAAAATGTAGTTGCTTATGATGCGCTATGCCACATGAACCCCGTCCCTTCCAGCACTCTTTCCCCTGGGATGGTTGATGCTCAAACCTCGGCTTCTTTGATCAAAACGGCACCACGATATGCACCGTAGGCGTATTGATGTTCGATTGGAAGCGCAGTGGCTCTTTGGAAAGGCGCATGCTAACTCCTTTTCATTTACGGGCCTCCCATCGGTTATTTGGTAGTGACCGAAACAGTCTTAGATCAACGGAATGTTTGATATGCCTGGTTTTAACCTGTGAATTACTATGTGCCGTAGGGCATGTATGCGTATGATGGATCAATGACGATGGACTCATCCAGGCTGGTAAACGCTAAAATCTCCGAGTTGATATCGAAAGCACCAGAGTCATCGAATGTTACGTCGAGACTCTGCTGCATTTGCAATGGAGTCATAAAATTTCTGTGAACAGTCAGTTACAGACATGGATAGTTCCTTGTGAACATACGGATCCCAATTGCTCCAGAGTTGGCTAACTGCTGCATCATCCAGTGGAGCAGGCGCATGGTTAGTTTCATTTCTGTGCACGAACTCTGGTATTCCCAAATCTGCGAGACGAACAGGCGTTTCTTCCGCCACCATCTTGGTGAAGCCAATCTGTTCCATTCCACGGATGAGATCAATCAAGCTCTGGATGTGCTCGTTGTATTGTGGTAGCCTCGTGTGGGCATAGGCCAGAATGAATATTATGATCAACCGTAGGATGCAAGTGCTGTCAAAGGCAATCAGACTAGAAAGAGTGCCACTGCTGGCCATGTCTTTTAGAATTGCGGTACTTTTTTGAGCTGCATCAATGCAGGTTTTGCCCATGCGCTCAAACCAGATCTTTTTGCTCGAGGCAAGCGCGCTGTATTTGATGACGAGATAGAGAAAGAAGGGCCTTGTCAAGAGAATTGTAGTACTCCAGTATTGCAGGTGTAGCACAGCAACCGCGCGCCTGTAAGTTGGGGGCGCAGGGACATCATACTTCAAGTGTGCTGGCATTTGCCGATACCATTTCTGCAACAAAAGAAGCGAGTTGGAAATGGTCGAAAAGGAGATGGAGTCGGCGGCACGGTCCATGTAGATTTGTTGGACAATTTCGCGCCTCAGGCGACAGAGAGATACCGACGTAGCCACCCATGAAAGGGGCGTGTGCAGGCCTGGATATAGTATCTATGTTTGTTAATATAGGCAAACGGGGTATGTGTAAGAATAACTTGCCTGCTCAGATGGCATAGGCGTAGTAACCTTTGTGAAACGCTCGTCTATGATGGTCGGGCTGCCACCTCGTGAAGAGATTTCTTGGTCGAGTTGAAACAGCGTCCACCAAATCCTGCGGTTTTGCTCACGGTCAAACGGCGTAGCTGATTCAGGAACCTGGTCTCGATGCAAACCCAGCGAAAAGGCCATTTGTACACTAGCCCCCATGTACAGGTAAGCACTGACTCTGGAGCAAAGGTTCTCCATTGCGAGAGACTGGCAGTGGTCAGCATCTACTCCGTGCCAGATTGTGATTGGATGGGTTTACCATAATGGTCATTGCACGTATGCTGTCGATGTCAGCCTGGTCGTACACGGCTGGGATTAGTTGTTTGGCAAGGGCGAGATAGTCCTCGGATGTCTTGGTGTCTGTCGCTGCGGGCCAGTCTGGGGGTGGCGAGCTGCCGTGGTGTCCCACATAGTTGGCAGCTCCAATGGCGAAGATTGTGTATAGAGAGCACATCCATGAGCTTGTGGAAGAGTACGAGGATTCAGAATAGGTGCTCTCGACACGGCGCAATAATGATTCGACAGGGTACAGCCAGTGGGTGCAATGCACGTCTTCGAGAAAGCGGGAAACGTAAATGTCACAGAGTTCACGGTTGGGCAGATAGTAGACTTCTTCACCACCCGAGTCGGTAGAAGGCGATGTAGCCGCCAGCGTAGGGGGGTAGGCGCCTACTCTTGGCGTGGGGATGATGGACGGGTCCTTTCTCTGCATGCCCAGGGTTGCTACGGCGGCATTGAAGGGTATCTCGCTGTGAGTGCCCACGTAGCGGAACTCGCCCCGCGAGTCCTTCATCATGGAGCCCAGCAGCGTGTGCAGCTCGTGGACGTCTTGCTCGTCGCCATGACCGAGGCCGTCGCCATGGTGGAGCTCGGGGGCATCCGTGGCAAAGAGCGAATCCGTGTGCTCGACAGGCTGGGCATCAAAAGTGCCGTCCTTGATTGCCTTGGCAATGGTGCGCAGAGAGTGCAGGTTCAGTTCACGGCCGGGGAAGAAGTGCTCGAGGATGCGCATGGCACACTGGTACTCTTCTTCCGTCACATGATAGTAGGGCCGTTTCCTCCTGGGAGTGGCAATGGTGCAGACGGCGCCTGTGCGCAAGCAGTAGCGACATGGCCCTGGGACTGTGATGAATCAGCAATGGCGACGGTGTGGAGGGCTTACGCGGCGAGGGCGGCGTACTGGGATCTATGCACTGTGCATCGGGGTCAGTGCCGTGGCGATGGGATGGCGGGGGCGGGGGGGGGGGTGTGATGGAGCTGCTGGTGGAGGAGTGCGGTACTTGCCTTTGTCTTGCGGCTGCGGCAGCGGTCACAGCTGCTGTGGACGCGGTGGGCGCTGGGGGCTCTGGTGGCGGGCGTCGTGGTGGTGGTGGTGGTGGTGGAGGTGGTGGGAGTCGCCGTCGCCGTCGATGGCGGCAGCGGTCGAAGCGGGGCGTGGGCGGCGGAGGGCTCGGCCATATCGAGCCGAGGGCCACGATAGCGCAGGCGGGTCGGGTTGCACTAGCGGCCAGCAGCGATGCAATGCAGCAGCGCAGTCAAGTCATCCGGCACGTGTTGGCGATAACCACGGAGCATGCACAGGAGAGGGCAGAGCAAGAGGGGACTGGGACAGCGACTCCATTTCTAGCGGGGGATGCGACGCGGGCGTGGTTCGCTGCGTGTGCCTGCAAAGCCTCCCTGCAGAGCGTGCCGATCGGCTAATCGTCCACAGCGCACACGCGGCATAGCGCCCACGCCCGCAGCAAATCATGGCCGCGTCCTCGATTCATGCTGTCGTCGCCGTCGCCGTCGCCTCGCACCCGCTCCTATTTCGCCCCGGACATGCAAACCAGCACCGTCTTGGTCTCGAGGAAGCCGTCCAGCGAGTGCGAGTACACCGGCTCGCCCTCGCGGCCCGACCCCGACGCCTTGTAGCCGCCAAACGGCATGTCCGTGGCCGTGGCTGCATCGTCAGCACATGTGTCCATGTGTCCATGTGTCCATCTGTCCGTCTGTCCATGTACTGTACAGTATACCCGAGAGAGAGAGAGAGAGAGAGATACTTACTCGGCGTCGTGCAGTTGACGCCCACCGTCCCGGCCTCCACGCCCCTTGCAAAGCGCATGGCCCGGTCAATGTCCTTGGTGTACACGGACGCGTACAGGCCGTGCCCGCGCTCGCCTTAGTCAGCACATCAACATGCACCTGCAGGGGTTACTAGACGCGACGCACTCGGTTGCGTTTGCTCTGGCCAGCACCTCGTCCTCGCTGCCGAAGACGTTGATGTTGACCACCGGCCCGAATATCTCCTCCTTCATCATCTTCGCATCCTCGGGCGTGTGGGCGAATATCGTCGGCTGCACCTAGTAGCCCTCGCGGCCCTCAGGCGCCCCGCCCCCCAAGATCAGCTCCCCGCCCGCCTGCTTACCGGACTCGACGTACTGCACGCTATGTGCCGTCTCCTTGGCCGCCTTGTCCAGGTCCGCGTCCTCAAACACAATGGCTGGCGACTTGCCCCCGAGCTCCAGGAACACTTGCTTCAGGTTCGCCCTGGCCGCCGCCTCTTGGATAAGTCGCCCCGTGCGGCTGGAGCCCGTGAAAGACAAGGCCCGCACGTCCATGTGGTGGCTCAAGACCGACCCGCTCACATTTCCAACCCCCGTGATGATGTTGATGACGCCGCGCGGAAATCCGCCTTGTTGAACACATGTGGCGATTTTGGCCGACTATCACCATCAGCTTGTACAATGACTGTACTCGGTCATTACGTTACTGTTAAAGGCGCCTTCTCGGAGCTTTTCAAGACGACCGTGTTTCCTACAATCAGCGCCGGGGCGAGCTTGCTGGCCAAGAAGAACAGCGGCACATTCCAGGGAATAATGGCTGCCACCACTCCATACGGCTGTCGCAGTGTCATGTTGATGTATCCTGGGGTTTGCACGCTGGTAGTCCCTGTTCCGGTCAGCCCTCATTTCACACTACACCGGACCTCTTACCCTGCACAGTGTATCCGCATTCCGCGTAGCGATCCCACTTGGCCGCCGCCGCATGTGCGTCGTGGTATTCACCCACTGGCCGACCCATTGAGCTCGCTTCCAACGCAGCCAGCTCATCGTTGTTCTCGCTGATGAGCTTTGCCAGCTTCTTAAAGGACTGTCCCCTTTGATCCGGAGAGAGGGCAGACCATGCAGGAAAGCCGCTTTTGCAGCTGCTACTGCATTGTCCGTATCCTGCTCAGATGCCTCGTGCACTGCATTGTCCGTCATTCATCCATCTCTTTGAACTCTTGGACGAACCAACCCTTGGCAACAAGCTTCAGTGTGGCCGGATTTATTATGTCAAACGTTTTGCGGTTGGACGACTCAACAAACTGTACACGTCAGTCTGAGCTACCAGCATCACGACCAACTAACCTCTCCGTTGATGAATAGGCGTGTCTCAATCTCTTCCGGTAAACCCATGTTGCAAAGTCGAGTTTGACAAGTCAGCTCTCGTGGCGGGCATGGTAAGAAAAAGACCGTGATTGATTTTGACGTGCGAAAGAAGCACGCTAGCTAGGTCGCGACAGATGACGGGCGCATAGCGCGATCGCAATTCTGGGTTAGAAAAACACTAAGAGAGATTGGAGGTTTCCCTGTGTGCGAATAGCCCCACCATGATGCTCACCCCCGCTAACATCGAGCTCCACGAGTTTGTTGGAGAAGGTTCGGTCGGCGTCATACAACCGTAGCGCCATGCATGTCATACTTGTAGCGCCACCGATATAGTATACTTATTCGTGGGGCTAACAGGGAATTTCCGCCTGTTCATCATGTCGCACAACTTATAGTACCCTTGTGTACTTGTTGCCAGGGTTGTCTTGGACGACGAGCTTAAGAAGCGATGGATGACCTGGTCTTTTCGCAGCCCTTTGTTCCCACAATCTTGGTATTTCCAGCAACATGAGTACCGAAATCGAACAGCTAAGGGCTATGGTGGAGAAGCTGCAGTCAGAAGTGACACGGTTGAGTGGTAGGTATTCATCCAGTCCCGCCTGAGGATATGCTGAACGCAGTTAGACCAGGAAGACGTTCGCAAGCTTCAGTATACCTACGGCTACTATCTAGACAAATGCCTGTATAAAGAGGTGGGTTGCCCAGACCTTTGAGAGTCAACCACTCATCAGGACAGGTTGCCGATCTCTACTCTGACCATCCCGACACCTGTGTGGAATTCCTTGGGGGCCGCTTCAATGGCAAGGAAGGAGTCAAGCGTCTCTACCTTGGCCGTTTTGCAAAAATGTTTGTAGCTGGCCGAAACGGTCCCGTCTATGGCTTTCTACTCGACCATCCTCAAATGCAGGGTATAGTCGATGTCAATGCAGAGGGCACACGAGCAAAAGCCCGCTTCCGCAGCATGATGTCTGCGGGCACACACGACAGCATCAAAGACACGCATCCACGAGGCCTAGTCCAGTGGTGGGAAGGCGGAGTGTACGAGAACGAGTACATCAAAGAGAATGGCGTGTGGAAGATTTTCAGACTAAAGTACTTTCCCTTTTGGCACGCGACATTTGACAAGGGCTGGGCACACACCAAGCCCAACTACATACCCTTTCTCTCAAAGACTTACCCAGAGGATCCCATCGGGCCGGATGTGCTATGCGACCACCCAATGCTCTGGCCAGATACCCGCGTCGTGCCCTTTCACTACAAGCATCCTGTCACGGGTGAGCAGGTGGCGGATGATGATTTGAGAGCACCACACTTTGGACAGGACCCAGCCACAAGTTCCCCGCCTCTTGTGCTGAGCAAACCTCAGTCTGAGATGCAGAGTCCATGAATGCACGCTTGAATTTCCGGTGCTTCTCTGCTCAATATGGGTTTTTCTGATGGAAGAATAGATCAACAGATATTGATTAATCAAGGATTCATAACGCTGCAGGATGTTCTGTTGAATCCAAATGTGTATTGAGTATTCTAATTACAGTATTTCGTAGCGAAGTGACTTATTCCAGTCATCGACGAGCAGCTTTATTTCATTGGACACAAACCATATTGACGTGCTCTATTCTGCAGAACAATCACACTCCATATCTAAACTATCATACGACTATATTTTGATAAGATATCAGATAATTTAACATGGAATTACCAGGGTACCCAATCCCTTGACCGGACACATCACTCCACATGTAATCCTTCACGGCGTTATGAAACCGGCGCTAGTCATTCCGGCACTTACCCGCACGCTACCCCGCAAATCAACCTCCCCACACCCATCCCGGTCATCTCCAAACTTGACGATTCAAGAATATGTCAAAATTTTTGAATCGGCCATTCAGACTCGTGTCTTAGTTTCCCAGTCACTGGGTTGCAACCGCGTAGAAGGCAAGAGTAAACATGGCACACATTTTCTCTCTCGCCTCCCCTGCACCAGCTGCTTACCGTGAAGGCAAAAAGTCTGGCGACCAAGTCAAATTTCCAGATAGTCCGTTTTTCCAAGGTTTCAACAAGCCATCTCGACTCGAAGCAGACATTTTCGAGCTCGAGACTACCGGCACTGTAAGTCGACGACTACACATGCAGAACCATCTCTTAGTAATTGTAGATTCCCAAAGACATCAACGGAACTTTTTACCGAATCCAGCCTGACCACCGTTTCCCGCCTCTCTTCGAAGAAGACATCCACTTCAACGGCGACGGCTCTGTATCCGCCTTCCGCTTTGAAAACGGCCATGTCGACTTCCGCCAGCGCTACGTGCACACAGATCGCTTCATAGCGGAGACGAGCGCGCGGCGCGCCCTGCTCGGGCGCTACAGAAACCCGTACACAGACAACGAAATGGTCAAAGGAATCGTCCGCACCGCATCCAACACCAACATTATTTTCTGGCGCGGCGTCCTCCTCGCTATGAAGGAAGACGGGCCCCCGTTTGCCCTCGACCCCGTGACCCTGCACACCATCGGGCGCTACGATTTCGACGGCCAAGTCCTCGCTCCCACATTCAACGCACACCCCAAATTCGACCCGGACACTGGCGAAATGGTGTGTTTTGCGTATGAAGCCGGTGGCAATGGGTACGACGCCAGCCCTGATATTGTTGTCTACACGATTGATAGCGACGGCCGCAAAACAGAAGAGTGTTGGTATAAAGCCCCTTTTTGCGGCATGATTCATGATTGTGCGATTACGAAGAATTATCTGATTTTGCCGCTGACACCGATCAAAGTCGACGCTGAGAGGCTGAAGAGTGGTGGGAATCATTTTGCGTGGGACCCCGATGAGGATCAGTGGTATGGCATTGTGCCGCGGAGGAATGGGACCCCCGAGGATATTGTGTGGTTGCGTGCTGACAACGGTACGTGTTGTCTCTTTTCTATTCGGGTTCGGTGGGTTTGACGCTGGCTATGCGTGCTTCGCGTGGAGCCATGCGGGGAGAGGACTGGCGCAGCAATCTGGCAAAAGAGAGAGAGAAACTGATGCAAATAATAGGATTCCACGGCCACGTAGCAGGCTCATACGAAGACTCAGATGGCAAAATCGTCGTCGATCTAACAGTCGCCTCGGACAACGTCTTCTATTTCTTCCCCCCAGACAGCCACGCCGCCACGCCTACCACGCTCCACCAACGCAACAAGCTCGTCTCCGACACGTACCGCTGGGTCTTTGACCCCAAAACACCTTCAAACACGCGAGTCCAGCCGCACAAACTCTTCGGCACAAACGGCGAGTTCTCACGCATCGACGACCGCGTGCTAACGAAACCCTACACGCACTTTTGGCAATGCAACATCGACGCCACGCGGGCCTATGATTTCGCAAAGTGCGGTCCCCCAGCAGGCGGCCTGTTCAATGTCCTCGGGCACTACGAGTGGGATACAGGCCGCAAAGACGTCTTCTGGGCCGGTCCCACCTGCACGTTCCAAGAGCCTGTTTTCGTGCCTAGACAGCCATGTCCATCGTCTTCTTCACCATCCAGCTGTGATTTCAAAGAGGGAGACGGATACATCATAGCGCTACTGAACCACCTCGACGTCCTCCGCAATGACATTCTCATTTTCGACGCTCAGAACCTCGCGCAGGGCCCGCTGGCTGTCGTGCATCTCCCTGTTAAATTGCGGCTGGGCTTACACGGCAATTTTGTGGCGCAAAGCGAGATTGACGAGTGGGCGGAGAAAAGGAGAGCCGGTGGAGCGCTGGGACCGGCAACACCGGCGAAGGATATGTTACAGTGGCAGAAGAGGATGGCGCAGGAAGAGGGCTTGGGGTGTTTGGTGCCGCTTCCAGATGGGGAAGGGGGCGAGGGGAGAGAGTGAAGTGGCTGGAAGATGAAAGATGTAGTTGTAGCGCTTTGGAGTAACTATCATTGCCGTAAGTATATCCGCAATTGAGCTGGCAACGCTGCAGAACATGTCCAAGTACAAGTGGGATGAAAGTTTTATTTCATCTTGTCTGGAAGCAACACCCACGCACAGAAACGAACCCCCCCCCCTTCCTGACTAGAAAGCACCTGTTTTAAACATGGTTTTCCCGAAATCTCTCCACTCACTCTCTCTCTCTCTCTCTCAACCAGACACGGCAGTTATATCTTTACACCCAGTGCAAAATAGTTTGAGGGGGCGTTGAAAGTGCAAGCAACCTACGCCACACCAAATTACCCATGTACATACATATTACGAAGTGGCATTTTAGGAATTTCCAATCTCTACATATTTCTCAACACCATGTTATTGTTTTTTTTTCGTACTGTATGTATGTAACTGTGAATGATGCTCACGCGTTGCTGCGCTCTCTATTTGTCGAGTCCCCTCGACTACTCGTGAGCCTTCATCAGTGTTAATTGAAGTCTGGGAAAGCCGAGACAAAGCAGCTTGGATGATATATATTTTCTCTCTCTCTCTCTCTCTCTGTCTTTCTCTATAGGTTAGTTTAGTACAACAAGCATACATACATGTGATTTCATGAACTGTTCTTCGATGAACGGCGCTCCCGCAACTTCCTGGTTTTTTCCAATTCAGCACTCGGGTTTTCTGCGATATCCTTATGTATATACATGTATGTGTGTGTGTGGCTTTCCTCGTATGTATCTCGCTCTTTTCATGCTGGAAAGAACCGCAACCTTGGAATGAGCTCGCGCGAGCTGCCCTTTACCCTGCGAGATAAAACGCCACCGATATCCATTAGCTGGCCTCTTCATTTCTGTCCCAATTGTACCAAGTCGTGATGGGTTTACTAGCCAAGGGACTATAGATGTCGAAATCGAAGTTGCCTTCAGAATCTTCCACCACCATTCTCCCGATTCCATGTCTGAGGAGTTTGTGAAAAACCACCCACCAGTAATAGCCAGGATAATTTGCTTTCTGGAAGGAGTCAAGTTCAGCAGGGTCGACAAAGGGGCTTTCACGTACTTTTTCCCCTCCTGTACACATGCGCTTTGCTATTATTAAATTCTTGAAACCTAACTCGTCGCGAGTACTATTGCACTGTGAAACCTTTGAATAGTTAGTCAATGCATTGAACTTGTATACGTACATTTGTTAGTTGATGCCCGGAAAGACGCTACTCGAGCAATATTCGAGAGCTATACACTAGTCCGTCGTGCCAACTGCTTATTTTCCAGCTTACAGTGAGTGCTCAATAATTCCCACGGCTCAAGAAGAGCTTTTTGAAGATTCCTTTACCATCGTTCTCATAACCTGCAGGAGGAAGATCATGGCTGATGCGGGTCGGCCATCCTCTCTGCTAGTGCGATCGAACCGTTAGAGGCGTGCCGAAAAGGCTTAGTAGTGTATTTTTATTAAAAATATATGGATCTGGAATATAATTCAAGGTTCACTGCAGTGACTGTAAGAGTCTTTTGAGATTATACTATTTCTGCCACTTACTCTATCTTTGCTCAAGCTGGATGTCAAATCCAGAAATTCAAGGAAACGGACCAGATAGAAGTAGTTTTGATCCTGGGGAAACACAAATACTAAACATCTAAAAGTTCGTGGCAACTCATCCTAGAATTACGGCTTGCTGTTGTCCGACACTGAGTTCTTGGCTTGCTGTACCGCAGTGCTATCATTCAAGTTTTCTGCTTCATGACCCGTACTTGAATTATTGGAATGGGGCACAGCCGCCTTTTTCCGCAGCTTCAACCATAACATAGCGCTGATGCATACCAAAAGGAGAACCGTCGTCACAACGGCCATGATGGTTTTTCCTGGGTGTGAGGAGATTGAATCGTCGATGCGTTCGATGGACCACGGGTAGCAGGATGACTTGACGATGATGAATATGCCAAGGCCAATGTAGAGAAAAGGTACTACTACATTCGCATACTTCTGAGCCACATGCAGAATATGCCTCTGCTTCATGACCAGGTATGCAACAAGACACCACACTCCAAGCAAAATGTAGAATATGACGACGTATACCGCTATTTCTGCACCCTTTGCTTGCGAAAATAGCGGTATGTATGTTCCGATGTTGTCTCCCCCATTCATCACCGTGATGATTGAGACTTTGAGTATGCTCTTCATGCTAGCAATATTGGATTTCTCTGCTTCTTCTGTTTCTTCTGCTTCTTCTACCTTGTTCGGGAAAAGGAGTTGGAACAAATTCCAGAGTCCCAGCAGAATTGGCAGTAGACCGAGGAATCCAATCGGTTCAGAGGGAAGTACCAGCGATACGCCAAAACCAACCATACTGATGGTGATGATGGCCGTGAATCCAATGTATTGACCCACAATAATCCTGAGGGGAGTCATAGTTTTGCTGGTGGATGCCTCTGCGAAAAAGGTAACCAAGACGAACATGTCGTCAATATTGGTGATAACGAACGAACTGCATGCAGTTCCGACTGATTTTCCGAACTGCATGATGCGAGCAGCGAGGGGTGGAATCGACAAGCGGAGAAGGTAGAGTGAGAAGTGAGTGGCCAACAGGTACTTTCAAGGACAAGCGCGCCGGAATGTGAGGCAGTCGTATGCAAGTGGGAGAGGCTTGGGAAACGGAAGTGTGGCGGTGTATGAGGCGAACATTTTTACCAGCCACACACATCCTTGCCAAGACCCACTAAAGACGCTAGCTCACTAGCGCATGTAGGGGTAGGAATACTAAGTCTACTACTCTTACTTTTTTGAAGAAGAAAAACACTACTTTTTATTCATGTTATGATTTTCCGATTTATCGCGAAGGACGAGGGGTATCACTTCTAATCCTATATCCACAAAATTTCTTGATATTATAGAGTAGATAAAATTCCGCTCACATAGTAGTTCGTGTTGAGTCTTTTCTTTATTATGGCCTTTTTTTTGCCGTGCGCTTCTTGATTCGTGGGCAAAGCTTCTACTCGGTAAGACCAGTTCGAAAGTGCAGCCACTACTCGGGACTGGGATAGGCATTGAAGCAGTGCAGTAGATGCTTGCGATTAGCAAAACCAGAAACAAATCTTGTCACTACTATCATAACAAGTGGTCAACATTATTAAACTTGAGAGCAGCGGGCGTTCGTTTTAGGAGCATGGGCCTGACGTGACTTTATTCGAATATCGCTCTCAACTAGTGTCGTAAATGGGTCTCCACATTGGGATCTGTTTTTCCATGATATCTCTATTAATTCTTATCCAAATTAGACAATTGGTGGCTTATTTGTAGCCCTAATATAGCTCTACAACTAATATATATAAGTTTCTCCATAACCATCATATATAGGAGGTCACTAGCCAGCCCGCTTCTAAAACAGTTAGGTCTCTACATAGAACTCTGAACTTGGATAGCAGCTCCAGCACATTAGACAAAGGGAAACTTTATATATATCAGTTGTAGAGCTATATTAGAGCTACAAATAAGCCACCAATTGTCTAATTTGGATAAGAATTAATAGAGATATCATGGAAAAACAGATCCCAATGTGGAGACCCATTGCCCAGTCTACTCTTAACTATATCATCCTGTTGGTGGGCAATGGTTTTAAAAATCCCGGGTTCAGGGTTGACAATGAGAGCTTCAGAGAGTCGTTTCAAGTTACTTCAGGGAAGCGCTGGTCATTTTTAGTTGTGTATGACTAGTTGGTAGCAAATGAAGAATAGAATCTGAATTTAGTACCACATGTACGCTACCCGAGTAAATGACTGGAATTCTTGTCTTATTTCGAACTTCTTCGTGGCGAGCGTAAGATTCCATGCCTGAATTCCCTACTACGTACAATCAATCATCCAACCAAACACCAAGAACAGAGTATGCACATGGTAGGATACTAAATGTATGCAACACAGACACTAACATAACTTGATATTGAACATGCTATAATATTATTTTAGTATAGTCTTGGTTCTATCTACATTCCTCTAAATTCACGCTTATACATCACTACCACGCTCACCCCCTCGCTCTAGCCTTCAACAGCAACCCCCTATCCTCTTCCTCACCACTCTCCCTCTTCATCTGCGCCTCAACTATCCTCCCAATATTACCCCCATCCTGCGTAACACCGCCTCTCAGCAAATCTGTAATCACCCGTCCATTGACCAACGTCTCTTCCACGATGCCTTCGGCCTGTTCCGGCCCCACACGTCCATACCACACCCCCGACCCTTTGAGCGCGTTACCCGCCATGCTAGGCGGCACATACACGATGATGTTGCCCGCATACTTGTGTCCCCCGATATGGCTTATCAGCCCCACATCAGCATGGATGCCTCTCCGCTGCAACTCACGGCGGAACGACGATTGCAGCAGCGGACCCAGCACGCCACAGCGCTGGTCGCGGCCGCCATGTCCACAGATTAAGATGGTGGGTTTGGTGATATCCTCGGCGGGTGGCAGGAGCGCGGCCCTGGTCTCATCGCGAAGTAGCTGCGTTTTTTGCTCCGCAGACAGCCCATCATGCATGGGGTGCAAGCAGCGCGCTTTCAGGTATGCAGTCGCAAAGTCCGACAGTGAAGCACCCGTGTGCGGGATCGCGGATATCCGCTTGAAACTCGGGAATAGCAGTGCGGTGGTGGTGTTGGGTGTCGAGCTTTTCGGTAGTGACGATGCGGTGATGAGGACATTGGTGAAGGGCTAATCAATCCCGTCAATCAATCGCGCAAGTATACTTGGCGTTTCTCGAACAAAAAAACCGAGAAAGAAAAAAAATTGATCTCGGGAAAAACGAACCTACATCAAATCCAGGTGCACCCTTTCCAATTACACTCTTGAGTCCCTTGACGAAATCCCCCGTTTCGCCTTCTTCCTGCTCAATGTTGCTGACCCAGTCCTTTTTGCCCGTGCAAAATATCACTTGCTCAGCATACGGAGCCATGGTATTGAGCAGCGGCGTCTTGCGGTCAATGTCCAGGTCTGCAGGCACCGAGGCGCATTCGCATGTCGGCGACGGACATGTCCGTGTATACGGTATTGAAGCGTAGTAGCGCGTGCGTGAAGTCGAGAAGCAGCGAGTAGCGCGTAGCAAGGTCAATCTGGATGACCGCGCGAGCGACGCCATTGTGGATGTGTCTGAGTTTTTTTGGTTGTTGTTTGGATTAGAGGGGAGAGAGGGAGCGCTTTCGGTGCATTGATTGTATGCGAGCTTTCGGAATGCGTTCCGCCGTGATGACGCCTTGTTCGGCTCGGAGATAGCGGATCTCGGGTTTCGGGGGGTTGTTTATTTGGCAGTGCAGCGGGGATTCTAGCAACACCAGAAATGAAGATTGTAGTAGTCTGAGTGGCGCCAAGAGAGAAATAGGATACGTAAGACACTAAAATATATTTGAATCGTGCGATTGTAGCTGCGGGGAAGAAAAGGTTTAATTATGCCTTACCTAGAGATATAAAGCAAGCCCTCATACCTTAGCTTAAGATACTAAGGTGAGCATTACTAATCTACTAAGACATTGCAGTTCTACACTCCTGTCCTAAACCAGCAGCAAAAAAATCGAAAAAACATACAACAGCAGGGATTCGCCAGTGGTCACCCACCTGACTACTAATCTGCCGGTTACCAGCTTATGTATTGCCGAGCGAACGAGAGACACAGAATTCTGGTACCTATGGTCGTATGTACTAGAATAAGCTGTTCAGCCAATATCTTCGCTGACGTCACTGTGACTTTGGGGACTTAGCGAATTTTGTGAGTGCAAAGCCAGATGTTAGAAAACCGGTCTGCGTGACGCTCGTCCAGGTTCAGCAAACGATTGTATTTTTTCTTCGGTTTCCTATATTGAGATAAAATAAAGAAGTGGAGAGGGCTCAGAGTATGTTCAGTAGTACCTTGGGTGCGCAGCTTTACATTGGCAACACGAGTGAACTGTCGGGTCACGTGAGTGGATCTGGGGTGCCTGACATCATCAGGTGCGCTGGGTGCGCGCAACCTTCTGAAGATGCTACTTCTATTCTCGCACCAAGCGTACCATGAATGTAATCATAACGCGGCCACGTAGGGGAAGTTGAATGACTTGGTGTAATACTATCGGCTTCGATGTCAACATTGTTGCTGTACGAACAATATGCATTCACGTGAGAACGGCTAGGCAACTTTACCTATTGTTGGTTTCTGCCTATAGGTTTTCACAGCGCAGTACTCTCTATAATCTGATTGAGGTTGGGGAAATGTAGTTGTCGCTTCACTGTGGCCAACGCTAGTGTGGAAGTTTGCTCACTTTTGTCTGTTTGTAGTAAGAACCTGAATGTGCGCAGACACCTTAACATCTTCTATGATATATTAGAACTAAGCTTTTCATAGTAATATAGTCTGCAAATGCAAGGGTAGCATAGTAACATACTATAATGAAACATAGTATTACAAACTATAGTCTTTATTATCTATTACTATATATTATTATTATTATTATTCCATTAGAGTCTATCTGCAGTCAGTGACTATGTAAGACTTTGGCCAGAGGCCGTTCTAGGTACAATTTGTTTAAAGTGAGAGTGTTCTCTGTATAGTACTGCTATTGTGCTGCGGTTTAGTCGCTTCTAGCTGCGCTTAAAGCGGACTCCAGTTGCTGAAGAGCAGTTTAGTAAACAGGAAGAGATGTTAGACAGCAGGGCTGTCTTCCAGCGAGCTCTTTTAATGCTAAGGAAAGTAACTTAAGAAAGTTTGTTAGTTATTATTGGTTTTAGGTAGTGTCTCTCTGTTCTCGCTTATTTTTAGTTATCTTGTTCTTGGCCTAGATGCCAGCCTCTAGTCCCTACTCTAGTTTTAGCAATAAAAGCTAAAGTCGCCTC